CAATATTTATCTCTATTAAGGTGTGACTGTGTGAAGATGTAGTGGAATTGGCAGACTCCACAGTGCTGTGAACAAACACTACCTGTTGCAATTCTGGCTTCTTGGCCACTTTGTTTCCGTTTTACAGAGCCAGGACTGTGGATAAGATGTTTTTTTTTCTTTTTTAACAGCATGAACTAATCAGTCATTGCAGACAGGCGCAACATGCTGTCGTATGCAACAGATATAAATAAGACTTTGGATCTGGATTAGACGTGAACAAACTTAGATCAAAAGGAATGCAGTCATTTCAAAATAGACATTTATGAAATAGAAAAACATTGTTCTATTTATTTCAGAGCTTGAATCCTCAAAGTTAAACAAACCACTAAAAATCCAAGTACTCTAAATGTTGTGCTGCTCTCTCAGATGGGCTTATTTGTCCATGTTCATAGTTTATGAAAGTTCAACCACAAAAGCATAACAGCCAATGATGTTTTCCACATGGCTGCTTTTTCAGGTTGGATCACAATGACGAGGCATTCATCTGAATGAGTCTGTCTGGGTGTGTGTGTGTGGCAAACATTTTATGCTCGCTGCCGTTTGTGGTGTGCTCTGTGTGTGCGCATGTGTGTGATTGTGTAGGATGGACCCTGTGTATGTTGTTTTGTTATGTAGAGACAGCTGTAAAGGCCGAGCTACTATTTATATATCTCTTAACACTTGTCTACTTTTTCCTACCATGACCTGATCCCAAAGTCATGCTCGTGACAAACTCATGACAAACTCTTTTACTTTCTCAAAGGTTTGTTGAGCAATAAAATAATAAGCAGTGTTTACCGATTTTTGTCTCCCCTTGTCTGTTTTTATCGAGGTGAACAGTCTGTATCCCCACACGGCTTGTATGTGCTCTGCAGCAAGGAGGCAGTGCACAGCCTGGCTGCAATGTGTCCATCACTGGCTTGATGGATGAGCTGGTGGTTGTCCAAGAGTCAAGTAATTGCACCACAACAGACCCATTTAAAATATTTAAACAGTGTCAAACATGAATGGCTTGGGCATCGAGTTTCAAAAGCAGCCACCGTAAAAGGCCACTGTGGATGAAAACGTTCTGTCAGTGGGATACTCGGCCTCTGCTGACGGAGCTGATTCTGTCTGAGGCACACAGGCCATGTACACAAACATGTCCCAACAGTTCAGCCAACAGCAACAAAACAGATCCAGCTGTGGGAGATATGCTGAGCTTTAGCAAATTAGCTTCTCTATGTGCCGACGTAGAGCACTGCTTTGAATGACACAATCAGTTTGTTTTAGAGGACAGAGAATACAGTGGCTAAAAACAGAAGATGATCCTTGGTTTCTGTTCGAAACACTGACAACGATGTTCTTGTTTTGTTGCTTTGTTTTCGTTTTTGGTCAAAGTGAAGGTCGAGCTAAAGGATGGTGAATTTTTTATCTCAGAAACCACCATTTGACCAGACAGAAGAGTAACCTGCTTCACCCTGTCTTTCCAGATTACAATCACACCATGGCCACAACCGTGCAGAGGAGAGAAAAAGAGAGGAAAAAGACAGTGACTTAGTGGAATCTGAAGGTAGGAAACTTGGTTTGACAAGTACTCAGGAGGGATGAAGATTGCTAATTTTCATTGACATTGTCTTATTATAAAGACTCCTTAATGATCCAAGTCTTTATAAAGTCCACTATCAACCCACTGAGCATTTTTTTGGTCTAAAAGAGGTCTAATAGACGTCTAAATGTAGCCTGGATGACTGGTCTAAAATCAGGCTACCACAGGTCTAAAAATTGAAGTTTTTCAGACGTCTAAATTTACACCAAGTTTAGACTAGCTGGCTATCAGAGGTCTAACTGTATATTGCTCAACGGCTATCATAATTATTTTGGTCAAGTACTTGGAGATCAGATATACAACTCACTTTTGCTTTTTGAAATAAATAGTTATCGAATAATGGGTTAAAGTGCAACGTCTCAATTCATCCAATAAAACTTAAAGAAATATACAGAATCTAGATGATTGAAATTAGGTCCAAAAAAACTAGATGTCTTATGGCCATCTATTGCTCAGTGGGAATATTCCCCTATTGTATGGTGGAAAGGCAAGACCCATGTTTTCAGTGATTAAGAAATACATTTTTATAATTCTCTGTGAGTATTTGCCTTAAAAAGTCTCTACATCAGTTGTTAAGTTTCTTTTTTGTTTTTGTTTTTTTCTTTTTAGCCATTACATTTAAACACATCATTTTATTTTTCTTGACTTAACAATAGTCATTTTACTGACCCTGACCATGACCATATCAAAAATTTATCTTAATGCAGTCTCATAGCGAACTTCTCATCTTGCAGATTTTAACATCTATCTCAGTTTTAAACTACTGTTCTTTATTTATGGAGCTTGCTACAAAATTTGGGTGTGTCTAAGGAGGATGACTTTCCCACAAAAGTACTGACCAAATGCTGATGGATGTTTTTTTTAACCCAAGGTTGTCAAAGGTAGGGGTGTAACAGGATACAAAAATCACAGCTAGTACTTAGTTTGGCACATGTACCTTTACACCCTTTATAACCCTAGTCAAAGGTCTGGTTTCAACCATATCCAGTAATGTAGGCATGAAGAGACACAGGTAAACTGAATGTATAAAAAAGTCAATTTTAAGCATAAATGCACCACCTCTGCCTTCAGTTTTCATAGATTAAACAGAAGATCTGAGGCTTTTTCTCTGCGAACCAAAGGTTTATTACTAACAGTCAGAGTAAGTTCACAAGTTAGTTAAAATGCAGTGCTTACTCAGGACTTTTCTTTCCTTCAAAGATAATCCATCCACCTGACAGATGTGGCATATAAAGATGCTGATTAGAGAGTAAGATTGTTAGCGAGGTGTGCCTCCGGTCCCAATAAAAGGCCACTCGTAAGTGTGCTGTTTTACACACCATCATTTCACAGATGTTTCAAGCTCCAAATGAGGATATCTACTGCAGGGATGTCTGCAAGAACCGCTGTGTGAAAAGTGAAAACTCTTACCTCAAGCCATCCTTTATGTTGTTGCTGAGAATCTGGTACAATTTAAACACATTTCAATTATGTTTAGTGTACCTACTATGTTATAAAATAAAGTGTTAGAATTTAATAAAACCATAATTTTTTGAAACTACTGGAGGATAGTTTCACACTCGGGCTGTTTGGAAAAGTTGTTCAAGAACAGAGGGCGTTTCCCACCTTGATCATATGGACGTGTGCAAACACAGCAATCTCGCTTCGTTTGGAACAAAATAAGCAATCTGAGATCCCCTGATCACGGTTCACTTCTAATAAAACCTTTCAACGGTTCATTTGCAGTGAGAATGCAATCAACCCATCCTCAGGAACCAATACCTGTTCTCCAATACCCAATACTCTTCACTCTCCAGTACTACATGAGGTAGTTGGCGTGAAAATAGTGGTAGGCTTACCTGTCCGTTTTATCACCAGAAGGAGAGCTTGCTCTGGGTCTAGCAGTGTCACAGAACTTGACATCATCTGGTTTAGTTCTAACAATTTCATCCAGCTCACTGAAACAGGAGGATTTGTCCTTCTCATGCCTTGAACCTCCATTATTGCTAAGCTGGTCTCATGCCTTCACATGCTGCTGTCTTAATTTCTTGGCCATCACTTGACACTGCTCAGCAGAACTGAGAAAATCCTTTCTTTCATTTTCTGATTCACAAGTTTAAGTTCTGTATTTTTGTGACTGATGTCCAACATTTGACAAATACGCTCATCTGCCCAAATGTCAACCAGGCACTCGACCTCCCTGCTGCTCCATGTCAACACACACCACTCCGTTTATTGGAAGGTTAACTGGCTAACATTAATTGGTGTATTGGGGCCAGCTACCCAGTATGCAAAGAAAGACCAGTACGCATGGCAATTGTTTGTCTACACGGTGGGAAAATGAGGCTGTGAAGTAATGATGTGAGGACACACATTAGTGTGTGCTTTGGTCCACTTTACAGTACTGTAGTGTGAACACAAGAAGGCCCAAGGGGAGAATGCAACAGTGTTTAATTTTATCATCTGAATCAGAGCAAAGGAGATGAGCTACAGGTGTGAGAGCATCCTCTGAAAATGTCAGTATCAAGGAATCGGCTTGTAACATTACTACTGAATTGTGTTTCAAGCAGTAGAAATTTCTTTGGCAAATGACCATAGATTTGTGAAAAAAATGTTTTTTATGCTAGATCCAAGCCTCCTTTTATTGGTAGAATATGAAGCTGTTGATTTAAATAATGGAGAAAAGCACACATGAATGTTACTGTAACCATGAATTTTCATGTAAAGGCGAAAGCCGAAAACAAACAGGATCCATATTGAGCGCATATTGGCAGCGTCACGTATCATACAGCAAATAGGCTTCCATTCTAATCAATGCAGTATCGCATACAAGGATGCGTATCAGCCCTATCACAGCTCCGTATCAGAAGCATATTGAGCGCGGCTCTGCTAAAGATATGCGATGCATCTATTTTTGCTGCTCTACACTTCCAATGCGAGTCAATCTCCACAGAGAAGATCGTTCCAGACAGGATGTCAAGCAGGAAAACCTCTCATGTCATCCAGTATTCCAAAATAAAAGACCATATGCGGACTCTCGACTGTGTATCAGTTTGTGTAGCTGAGAAATACTTCCTGGTTATGGATTTATCAGTAACACAGAATAATCCAATGGTCAATCCCTGATCCATTTGGACCCCAACAGGACTTTGAACTGCTAACTCTGTATAAAGGTAACAGCACAGCCTTAGGAACAGAATTTACTTAAATAAACACAAATAATACAGATCCTGTATGTTTTTTGGCTTAACATAGTGACACCAATGCTAGAGCCCAGTTAACTTACAGATACACATCTAGGTGTATGTGATGTACTAATGAGCAGTCTCATTACTTGCAATGAACTATTAACTGAATTATGTGAAGCAGATCCTGGAGATTGGTCCTACAAAAAAGCACACTTTAAAACATGTTTGTTTTCTGAATTTTTATTTAATATATTATATTTTTCTTTAGTCAACATTGCACATATTCCATTTTCAATCACATCTCATATTGCTGTCTACAAAATGTTATGAATGTAGAAAATCCAGAAGTTGGAAGGTTTACCAAAAAATAAAACAAACTAACAGAAAAAAAAGAAAATTAAAAAGAGAAACAAACAAAAGAAAAGTAAACAAAAAAGAGGGAGAGTTAAGGAAAGAAGTGACGTGCTCCAAAGATACAGAAAGAGTGAGAGAGAGTGAAAGAGAAGGAGAAGGAGAGGAGCACCCTCGGGGGAAAGAATACAAACATACCTCGGGTTAGGATGCATTTTTCTCAAAACAAAGCATCATGCAGAATAAAAGCAAGGCTGGCCAAAACTCACATGGATATTTCTCAACACCTGAACTGTAGAAATATTTTACATGTTCGTTTATAGTTACTGTTACTTTTCCTTTGCTTACTGATCGTATATAGTTTCCCTCCCTTTGTTGTTGTTGTGAGTGACAAGGCAAATGAAGAGTTTGATGTGAAGCACTAACATTAAAACAAACTTGTCTCCTATCACTGCTACTGTCCCAAAAAACAACAATGTAGTTTCAGGAATTGACATCGTTACAGCACAGCAGCAGTGTCTGCATGATAGTTTACCTCTCTGCAGGTGACGTGACTGTGAGGACTAGAATGAGGAGTGTTGATGGACTGGATTATAATGTCTGTATTAATGTGACCTTGGCCTTGGCTGACCAAACTGCTCCGGCTTGCATAGACACCTGAAAACTAAAGGTTTGAATCCTGGTTCTTGTCCTGTCAAATTCACACCTTGATCCATAGATTAGTGTGTTTTGTACTTGTTTGTGTACTTGATTTATTTCAAAGTAACACACACAGTTTCCCTACCCCATCAGTCTGGAAGAGTTAAGAAGCTACAAAAATCTGTGATGACAACAACCTCCTATTGTAGATGTAGATTGATGAAACACACAAATTAAAAATTACACAGTGTATGAAAGCCAAAAGAAAACATGTCAAACAATTCTGAGAGACATTTTAGGCGTGTTTTGGGAAATTTGCTCTGCCTCACATGTAGTTAACTGACTATAACATTACAGGAGATACTGTAGGCCTGCATGGTAATCAGTCTATGTAGGCCTAAATGCACACCCTCTAAAACCTCATTAATGTTTTACAGACCATATGCAAGGCTGCAGACAAGTAGTTAGATATGTTTTTGGCTAACCTGAGATCCCATGGCCCTCATTTTTTAACGTTTTGAGCTTTCAGGGCGTTGAGTAGTGAAGTATTTATCACCAAAAGTTATAGAGTGAAACTGCAGTTATTATAGGACAGTAGAATTGTTGTTGTTTTAGCTTTAGCAAAGCTGCAAACAGTATTTGTAGTATTCAGTATTTATTTGCTAAAGAAAATTGATGGATTTTTTTAGGATTATAAAAAAAGAAAAAACCCTTGTTGCTCGTATGCTGTGCAGTAATGCCGCCTCTTAATTCAACTCCTTGACGTGACAGAATGTTCTTAACATATGGGGACTTCTTACCAGCTGCCATTACCCTTTCATGTCCTTCCCAGTATTACAGTGTTTCTTGGCATTGCTGTGTAGCACCTAAAATACATTAGCTGATCATAGTACACTACGTGAGATCGGTGTCCTTTTGAGGAGCAACTGAATGACTTGTCTGTTGGTGAAGAGTAGCGCCAAACTGTTGTGAGCCTCAAAGTCTCTACAGTGTACGAAAGATGAGGGAAATCTGACTACAAAGAAGATAGCAGCGATGACCTGGATCCAAAAGAACACAATTAGGACACAAACTGAAGCAGAACAGGATGATGACACAGGTCTGAATTGATTTCCTCTGTCATGTGATTTCCTCTCTGGATTCAGTGCTAACTCTTCTTATGCCTTTATTTTTCTCCCTCTCCCTGTTGTGTGATGGAGGTGGAGACCTGATGGCTTTTTTGCTCCACACACCAAAGCTGCTGTAGATAGATGTAGATATGAGCATGATTATTTTCTTTCACTTAAGGCACTGCTTACAGCTCAAGAAAAATGCAAATCTTAATCTAAGTGAAAGCCTAAAAATATGTATTAACTTTGACATTGCAGTTTCACATCTTATGTATAAAGTATTTAATTTGTGTTTTATAATGACCAAATGAAAACCAAAACAATTTTGACATCTCTGTCATTTAATGTGCTTTGAACCTCATATTTAAATGTCCAGCAGCTTAACGAATGAGGGCTTTAATGAATGTGCGCTGGAGTAATTACTGCATGATTGTATCTATGTGTCTCCAATGAGACACTTGGAGAGGACAGCAGCTGCAGCCAGAAAGTCAGTCCTAAAGCAGGCAGAGGTTGTTTTACTGAGGGGAAACTGGCAGCACAGAAATTGTTGCTGTTGTGATGGTGAGACGTGTACACGTCTTTGAATGTTTTTAACCACAAACAAACCATTGCCTGCACTGTACATGGAATACTAATGCAATGAGCACCTTAGTGTGTCATTACCCATGTCAATTCTGTTTATATCACGCTCTAGCACATTTAAAGCCAGGAAGTGAAAGATGAGGTGTGCAGGTATTTAAGCCAGTGAAGTCTGTTATGATCAAATGTGTGTTGTCTTCTGTGAAACAACAATATCAATCTCTATTTGCGTGACAGCTGTAAGCAGTGACTTCTGAATATCTTCCAGATAAAGTGACATGAAATAACCCTGTTATGGACCCAATAATTTGACTGATTTACTTGCTTAATCTGTGCATATTTAAGTCTTTTATATTAACATACACGTGTCCTGGTGATAAGGTTTATAAGTTTCTCATATGTGAGAGTCTCATAAATGCAGATGTAACCAGGAACATTATGTTATTTGTATTCAGGAAAGAGCACCAAGATTGTGCGGCAAGAAACGCCACTGCAACAGCCTTAAAATCCAGTCAGTCACATAACAACCAGCACTATGTTATTATTTGTAAACAAATACAAACTACGTCATAGTTCAGTTTTGCAGCACTCTTCTGATGCCTTCTTGTTTATAAGGAGATTAAGACATTGAACGGGTTCTTGTGTTATCTAACACGGTGGATGTTACAGTAAACACTTTGAGTTTGAGCCTCAGACTAATGCTTTACTTTTATTTATATTTATGAGTGTGTTTTTATCAAACTGAGCCATAGGGAGGAGATATGTCTACAGTGTGCAGTCTTAGTCTATATTATGTCCTTTTATAAAGAAGTCACAAGGTTGTTGGATGAAAAAAGTTAAAAATTCAGACTTTCTAGAGAAAATTCAACAATGAAAAATAAAGTCTGTCGAGTAAGTAAGAGTTTTCTACCACACATCAATATTGTCAGATGTGTTATTTTTTCAAATCTATTTCAGCTGTGATTTATGTGACAGCAGGGCAGATTGAAAATTGAAAGGGCAGTTTGTGAAGGTTCAGGCTACTCCTTGTAATATTAAAGGGGTTTCCTATGATGAAAAAACTGTCAATCAATCAGCTGACTTGGTCCAATTAATAAGTGCACAATGGATTATAAGTTATCCAAGTGAAGTGGCTATTTCCAGCAGCTCTGTGGTCCATCAAAGAGAACTGATCCACTCTTGAGTTCTGCTCTTTCCTCAAATTTCCCTAAGTGTCAATGTCAATTAACTCTGGAAGCTGATTCATGAAGAAGCATTTTACAGCTGAAGAAAAATGAAAGGAGGGTAATCATAATGTTGGTACCTTTAAATAGCCCTGCTGTGCAAAGTCACCGTGATGGAGTATTTACAATTCAGTTTCAACATAAGATGGCATTAAATTCAGTTGGATACACCGGTTTCTAATGATTGGTTTGGGAATATTAAATCCCCCTCCTTCACAGAAATCAATTAGACTGGAGGCTGTGTCACACTAAAGACAAAAATGGAGAGTAATCGCCTGACAATTTTGTCAGACATTTGAAACAGCTTCTCGTCTCCTCTCAGTCGTGCAAAAGAGATTGACTGACAAAGGGCAGGTTATCAATAGGACGATTGATACCCTTTTTAGCTACTCTAAAAAGGTGGTCTTAAGGCGCCCGTGAGGAATTACAAAAATCTCATCCTGCTGACTTTGAACAGTCCATGTTATTGTCAGAGTTTATTGTGACAAACATTAAAACAGGGTTGTTTCTTAAGCTGCTTTAGAAATTAGAATTTAATATGTAAATATAATAATCAATCCTGTTGGTGATGGTCTTGTTTGCTTTTGTAGATCATAGACAGGCACCTATATGAATTTAAGTCTATTTCATAGATGTCAAAAAACTTCTAACAGGAGCTTTAAACTTGTAATAGTGTTTAATTTTTAGATTGAGTTAAAAGGCTGTTAAATGCAATTTTACTCTGCAATCTATGGCTGCTTCATAATGGTAACCATCTCATAAAAAAGATGAAAATAAACAAATGGTAATACCGTTTGATTAGTTGAATTAGTCGGGAGACCGTAATGGTTCTTATTCTGGTTGGTAAAAAACCTGTGGCCCAAAAAAGTTCATTGGCTGTTGGGGGGATTTTGGGATTTCATAAAAATTATGGGGTGTTTATGGACAACACGTAACACTGAATCTGACGCAGAAGAGGGCGATGGGTTTTCATCTAATCAGGAGGTTCTGTCACAGGACTGGTGACATGGAGTCAACATAACTTTGAACTTTATAATGGATGAATGACCATTAGATCAATCTTTTGTATGTACAGCTAATTTGTATAATGTCATTTAAAGACACTTGTCAATGATGACGTGTGTTTGTCAGTGAAAGAACATGTTGCTTTCCCCTTGTCTTACCTTTATTAAATCTGACTGATAGCATTTTTTCTCATAAGTTTCTTAGTATTAAATTTTGTTTTGTGAGGTGGAGACCTAATACTGTGACAACCTCAGTACAAATGACACAGTCTACTTTTCAAATTAATAATCTGGTCATGCTTGTGACCAGGGGCAAGCTTTGGGATCTGAAGGGGGAGATTGATCTCAGTCAGAACAGTGTGAATCTAGTACATCACTAAATCTGGTAAATAACGGGCTGTTGTTTTGCATGGCTCTGGATTTGTGGTCCATTTGCTGTTTTTAGAAAAACTCTCCTAGTTATTGATTCAAGGAGGCAATAATCTTTCAAGTTAATCTCAGTTGCTTTGTGGGAATCTCAGTGATGTTAAACCTCAGTAATAGCATGTGAACCTCAACAGAAAAGCTATTTCTCACACCAGTATAGTCCCTCTTAATGTGAAATCAATCCAAAACAAGGGCTTCCCTTTAGATTACTTCAGATCTTTTGATAAATGTGGGTTGTTTCACTGAAAATGATACACCTGTGCTCTTTGCATCTACTCCTCTTCCTCCTGTTGCCAGCAAATACATAGTAAATGTATCACCCAGTGAGTTTTCCAGCTCAGAGGTGGGTGTAATTAAAATCTTTACCTTTCCTTGTTCTTAGTGTTATCCACCCTCCACAAACAGACTGCTAACATTCCTAAGTGCTTTCTAAACTAAGTTACAACTCCAGATAAGTTCAACATTCACAGCAGCAATCTATCGTAGAAAATAATCAATTGTTGAGTTTTTTGGGATGTTTTTCACTCCTGATATGTCCTGGATGACCTCTTGACAAACACCCGTGTGGATAACTGTGTATTGTGACCCTGACTATTTAGCTCACACATGTGGATGAATTATTTTTCCCTGTAAAATCCAATCTCCATCAAAATCCGCCCCTCGGCCTTTATTATCTTGTTGCTTGAAATATGAAAATACACCTCCCTCCTCTGGGCCACAGCTGATCTCCAGATGACAGCAAATTTAAGTGGGGATGCCGTATCAGTGCGACTTGACATAATTGCAGCCCCTAACTAGATAAATAGTTTTAATTCATAGATTGAGGAAATGGGTTAGAGACTATTTTTTGCAGCGTCCTCTGGTGCTTGTTTATTCTGCTTGATTGGATGTGGTGGCCTGGAGGCTCACTTCTCATGCTGATCCGGTTCTTGTTGTCTCCATTAACCTGTGGGCGTATTAGTCTTCGGCTTAGCCTCTTTTGTACTGCTCTGTGATAATACCCGGCTGTAGCTCAACATATCAGCGGGCAGATTAATTTGTCTCAGGCAAATTTATCACTATTGTTGCAGTGCAGTGTCTAGCCACCAAAGGCTGTTTGATAATTCACCATCCGAGCTTGAAGCGTTTTGGATCTTTAAGTGTGCCAAAATTCAGTCTGACAGCTAAAGGCAGTTTTCACCTGACTGAGCTCAGGTTCAAACTCTGGGCCAGAACTGCAGCCTTTGCTTGTCCAGTCACATTCAGGACAGCTTGTGCTTCAGGCAGATAATCTGACAAGATCAGAGTGATAAAAATCGCCTCTGAAAGTAGATCTTTCCATTTGGGTAATATTTTTATAAATCCAGCTCCAAAACAACCAGTCAACATTTTGGGAGAAAAAAGTCAGTCTGAATGAAGAAGGGAAGCCTCTAGTGACAGGAAAGTTTAGTCAGCAGCCGGTTAGCCTAGCATAGGTAAGCATATGACTTTTAAAAATCTTAAATCAATTTGGAATATGTGAAACCCCACACACGACGACTTATAAAGGTTATTAAAATAAAACCTCAGTGTTGGGGTCAGCTGAAGTCTTTTTCTGAACATAGGCATTGGTATCTGAGCTTAATTTTCACAACCCTCACATCTCAACTATCATTATTTCATTCTAGTCTTTGCAAGAAAGATGGTCAACTTTTCCCTAAAAAATAATTTCTGTTCTATAAAAGTCATGTCGGTTTGCTCTACATTTGTGTGACTTGGATTATCAGGTGTTTTATACCCAACATTATTTCCAAATATCCTCAATAGTGCAGTACAGTGTTAATGTTTAATCTCACAGTGGTGAATCACCAAACAATGAAATAAAGAAAATGCTGTATAATATGAATATATATATCTTTTAGTACTTGTCTTTGTGAACCAATCATAATCAACAGAAATCAGATTGACATTTCTATTCACCGTCATTTAGCTCCTTAGTATTTTGTTTTATTTGGATTAGTCTTTCTTTACTGCCTTTGCCCTGATATGAAACATTTTACAAAAGAAACCACAGTGCAGATTGACTGTTCCCAAACTTGGCTTTATTTCTGGTAAAACTTTTGGACTTCAGAAATGAAAACTTAATTTGTATCTGCTCTTTGCCAGTGAAAGCATACTCTCCATAAGGATTTCCAAAGTAAACCTTTGACATCTATTTTAAAAATATTGTGGCTAACCTGCGGTCACAAGTTTCCCCTAAAACAAAAAGAAATATCTGTAAAGTTCAGTAAACAGCTCCTCTGAGGGATTCTATTATTGAGGTAATTACAGATATGATTTTTGGGAAAAAAGAGCAAGAATGTGAACTTTGGATTTTCCGTAATAGAGAGAAAAAAAAAAAAATCCAGAGCTTCAAGTTTATGCTTTGTCAGTGCTTTCCTAGGTAACCTAACATGTAAAAGATGCTTTTTCATTTGAATTTGTAATGGAGTTCAATACTTCCAAAAACTAAAATGAAATTGCAGCGTCAGTGGATATTTCTGTTTCTGTCATTGAAGAGCGACACTGAGTAAAGAGAGGTAACAAAATCTGACGGACAAAGCTGCACAAACAACACCAGCAACTTTATGTAAAGGTGTGCCAAATAAATGACTCGGTGGATTTTTAATGGCCAGTCTAAAAAAAAAAAGAAAAAAAAAAGCAAAGAGAAAAAGAAAAATACTGCCAAATACCCGACAATGAAGAATGTTGGAGCAGCATTCGCAACAATATGAGCAACATGATTGTTTCAGCGAGGACAAACCAAACACAGATGATAATGGTGGATGGCCATAACAGTCAAAGAAAGTAAAAAGTCTCAAATTACTCTATCTGCAACACGTCTTAGGACACACAAGTATAAATGTCTGCTATGTACATTTTTTCCTATTCAGTGTGCATCTATTTCACAACATTTTCCAGAAGTCCACAACATACAATAAATTCAGGGTTTCACCTTTGGTTATGTAATTATCAAGGCTAGGTTTAAAAAAATATAGAACACACGTCCATGTTACTTTTGCATACAGTTAAATTCAAAGTGAAAACATATCAACAAAGCAGCTGGTCAGCTCTAAATTTGCATCTGAGAAAAAAACCTAAGGTATTTTGTCTCTACGCAGATGTTTCTCGGGGGCGGTGAGAGCCCGGCGAGGTTCATCTGCTGTTTTTCTGTGATAGAAAGTGAGTGTGGCAGATATTTATGACGGTGTTTATGTGCCTGACATCTTTGCTTAAGTGTAAGTGGATCTTAATGTAAGAGGATATTCTTCTGATGTATTTCAGTGTGTAGCTTTGAGCCAGTCAGTATACGTCTCATATATCTCTCCCACCCCCTCTATACACTTTCTGAATGAGGATTTTCATGTGTTATGACACGATATGAATTTAAGAGTTTGTGGCCAGCATTTGAGTGAGCAACTCAGGCCAGCCTTGTTTGGTTGACAATATGAAACAAGATAAAAATAGATTAAGTCGCACTGCTGCCTGCACATGAGCAGAGAGCAAACTCACCATTTAGGAACCAATGACACCTACAAAGCCGACCCAACTAAAACATTATGTCGACGTTACAACCAAACATTATCTCTATCATAGTAAAATATTCACATCTGTTCCTTACAAGACACTTTTTTTCACATGTAAATAAAACATCTTTGTACTTTTATAAGTCTCTTAGTTTCATCGCTTCATACATCTGTTTATGTGTAGTAATTAAGGCAATCATTTTGGGCCACGACTTACTCATTTTTCAACTCCAGTCTTAACCCTTCGAGGGTTTGTTTGTTTACTGGTGTCACGCAGGAGCTCTTGTCCCCACTCGTCGTCCTTATGCTGAGTCCTGTCCATTTGTTGTTGCTTTTATCGGTCTCCTCTTGTGCTCAAGACGGCAAATCGCATTGTTTTGCTTGTTGTCTGCAGTTTCCAGATATGTGGGGGGAAACTCCCTCTCCTTGTAACTGGCAGCACTGCAAGACAGAGAGAAATGGGAGAGGCATAAAAATCTGTTATCAGTATTGAGAAAAACAGCACCCTGAACATTAGAGCAATTTGCCCAAATGAAAAACTACACCTTCATATATTTTAATTCCACCCTGGAGCTTTGGGGAGATGCATCAAACTAATATAATGATCAGGGTCATTAAGCCGCAAGTCCTTCTAAAGCACTTAGGGAGGAGACAGGACCGAGCTACTTTAATCACATACACACTAGGATAATAATTATGTACAACTTTACTTATAAACAAATAATGTGACATTAGCCTTTGAACATCCTTTAGTGTCATTAAAATCACCACATTTAACTCTATAACTTTCATATCTGCTGTAAAACCATAGACTGTATATACTATGGACAACTTTGTTCCAACTCCCGCCTGTATACAGATTTGAAGCCGAAAAGCTCTCGGTATTTCCACAATTTTTCTCCATTTCCTGAAACCAACATTGCGCAGTATCATTGTAAGCATTAGGTGGGAGAGTTGCCGAGAGTTGCTGTGATGACACTCGGCTCAAACAGAACAGTTTGATCTATCTTTTTCTGTGTGACAGTTTCTGCTGCAGTCAGAGAAGTATGCAATGTGAAGTTTTTATGCAGCTGTAAAGCTCTTTCTTGTTCCATGTGTTTTTGCCTTCCTGTTAGCTATCGGTATGTAAGTTGAGGTCAGTCTATGGCAGCGGTAATAGACGTGAGGTACTGATAGACCAAACCACCAACTTCTAAATGACAGTTAAGATGAAATTTCTTATATTTATGCTTTTTTGATTGATTACAATCAGTTTTAAGGTGCACTTCTGCCACCTACTGTGCTGGTTGTAGTTTAACTACTTAGCTTCTGCAGGTGTATGATGAAATACTGTATGAAAAAGTGCACCCTCTTTATTTGCAAGGGAAACACCCACAGATATTGATGGCATCCAGAGAAAAAAAATAGTTGTAAAAAAAACAGTTGTACTTTAGCTTAATGCTTACTTTGTGTTTTTGTTCAAACCTATTGAGCTCTGCTGTATTTTTGAAGCTGATATTCCATATCCTCCAAAGTTTGGCTGCGAAACAGAAGCTTATATTGACAAGTCTACTTATGTGCAGGCAGAATTACCTTAAAACAATCCCATGCTTGATTAGATTTCCTTCTTTTCTCATTTACACAGTCCATAACTGGAAACTAAAGGAACTAAATTGTTTGAATGCTGACTGTGAGCTGTTTTATTATTCAGATGTGGTGTCTGTGAAATAAGCAGCATATGTAAACATTTAAGCACTTATAGGCTCAGACCTGGGAAGGGGAGTTTGTATCAAGTCCTGCTATGTCTGTTGTCTTCATATGATGATTTTAGATGGTATGATTGTAGATGACAGGGAAGAGTACACGCTAGTGCTGGACGATAATTCGATAACAATATATATCGATCGATAGACGTGTGGTCCGATAGAAAAAAAACGGGTCGATAAAAAGTTCGATAGAAAAACACAGTTTCCCTTTCTTTTTCATCATAGCCTATCATGTAGCTTTTACTACAGTCATTACTTCCTCCCAACCAATCACAAACGCAGACCCAGGTACGCTAGGGCACCAAGCCCAGCCCCTATCAAACCACAACAGACAGCACGTGTATTAGAAAAAATGCTACAGCAAGGAGAAGCGGAGGACATTGTCCCGAAAAAAGGGTTTCAGTAGTTCTCCAGCATGGCAATGTTTTGGTTTTTAGAAGTCTGACAAAAAGCGAACAGCGGTCGTTTGCAAAATTTGCAGAGAATTAGTAAAAACCAAGTGTGGTAACACAATCAACTTGTTTTACCATCTAAACCGATCGCACCCGCAGGAGTACGAGCTGTGTCGGCCGCGCCGCGGCTCCACGTCGTCGTCGTCGTCGGAATCCTCTGGAGCCGCTGCCAGCACCAGCTCAAAGCAAGTGAAGCAGACCAAACTGGACTTCGTTTCTTGCCAAAATACGACAAAGCGTCCAAGCGGCATAAGGACATCACCCATGCAGTAACATGCTTCATAGCGAGGGACATACTGCCAATAACTACCGTTGAAAAGCCTGGCTTCAAACAGCTTCTAGCCACTCTCGACCCGCGATATGAAGTCGGCCGCAAGTATTTCTCAAACACAGCGCTTCAGGCATGAAAATGGGTCAGGGGTTGTGCCGTAGAATGCACCCCTGCATCCCGTCCACTCATTAGCTTCTTAAAGTGGAAGAAAATGAGCTCATATTTTACAAAGACGCGAGTATTTGGATCATGACTACTAGCAGGGGGTGCATTCGGTAGGGGTGCATTCTACGACACAACACCGGCGTGGATAAGTCCTGCTTCTCGTGTTCAGTTTGCATATTAAGTCAATCACATGATAATGAAAAAAAAAAAAAAATCTCCCGACCCCGGGAGAAATATTTCAGTGTTCAGACACCAGGCTGTGGGCAGTTTCCCACACAGTTAAAACTGGTAGTATGCTATTCCCACCTAAAGCTATTCTGTTTATTTATATATTTGTTTGTTTTGTTTATTTTCATCAAAAGACTATTTAAATATTTATTTATCAGATTTTCTGGTCACTTTAGTCTTTATGTTTGTCAGTATTTACTGATGTCACTCAGGCCACTTAAGTTGATTTCTTTTTTTTTTTAAAGTTTTTTTTTAAAAAAAACTTTCAGTTGTGGTAAAAAAAAAAAAAAGGTGGTTGAATAAAGGTTTGAATTTGAATTCAGTGCTTGTGTGTTCTTTATTAAAAGTAGGTCATTAAGCAATAGCATAAAACATCCAGGGCTGCAATTAAAATATATGTTAAATAATTATAATAATTATATCGATAATTATCGAAATCGATCAATATGATTTATTTTTTATCGATATGCTTATTTTCTATATCGTCCAGGCCTAGTACACGCATGCATTCACATTCACACGCACGCTGACAAATATAGGGTGCACTTCAATTTAATGCAACGACATTAATCCCTGCAAGTGCGATTGTACGCATCAGTGTGCCACCAAGGTCAAAAAACCCTCACATACACAAAACAACAGGGCAGCGCCGGCTACCAGAATTAAAGCGATCAAGTGAGATGAGCATTAAATCTACAGAAAGCCTTTGCATGAAATTATGCAGAAAAATTAATATTGTAATATTTAACTTTATCAAGAAACACACTAAGTAAGAGAAGAAGCTATAACAATAATCAGAAAAGAACAGATGGATAAATGTGACCAAAAATGATAGAATACAAATATAAAGTAAAATAAGTTGACGCTAACTGGGAGTGGCAAAGTTTTAAAATTAATGTTTACTTATTTGATGAGACATGAACCTAGGTAAGCACTGATAATGTAACAAAAAATCACCAAATTCCTGGTATATAGATTAAGTAAGAGGAACTCTGATTCACTCTGTTTGTATTGCGCAATAAATAAGGGGAAAGATTGGCAGGTACCTCTTACCTAAAGGGTGTGAAGATATTTCCATCTCCTTTTTTTCCTCTAATCTGAAATTATGCAGTGTTTGAAAACAGAACAAAATGCCTTGAAAAGTAAATGATGAAAAAGAGGTGATAGTAAAACTTGGAGTCTGCGCCTTAATGGAGATTTTAAAAACTGCTTTAAAGGAGATTAATATTCAGAAATAAACAAATAAGCAGCGTGAAAGGCGGTGAAAGCAGAGCACCCAACAGGCCAAATCCTCTGTGCGTTAACTACAGGTGTGCTGATCCAATGGAATGAAATCAGAGACTCAGAAAAGAGCTTAATTTGTCATAAAAACCCTGGAAAGTCATTGTAATGTCTACCAAGAACTGGAAAGCTGCAGTGAGAAACAAAAACAATAGTCACAAGTTGAAAACAAACCAACAGCAACATGACGAACATGCAAAGCATAAAAAATGTTGACAACTGCTGCTAAGTGGCATTCACCCTAATGTGCTCCTCCTCTGTAGCTCTGTATGTGATGCTGATTTAGCTCAAATTTAAATTCCTCCCTTCATGAAGTGTTTATGTTAGTCTAGCTCCCCCCCTGTAGGGCAGAGCATTTCACAGAATAACTGTTCTGTGTCATAGCTATTTGTGCTTATTAAGATGCAGACTATTAAAGACAAGCGTCCTCTTTTAGCCGAGCAGCTGTTGTATAATTCTCCACCTCAATAATTTGAGAATTTCCACACAGTCTCCCAGGAGTTGAAGGCATTTTGCATGCAATCAGAGCTGCAGCAGGCACAGGGCAATTACAACCTACACACTGAATGTTTTTTTTAATCTAATTCCCTTATTAAGACTTTGGAGCTGAACCTGTGCTTGTTTACATTTCAGTAGTTGTTTGAGTGGAGAGCCACTTCAGTAAACACACACAGGTAGTGAGTTTGAGTGTGCATTTACCTTCGACTACATCTCTGCAACGTGTATTGATAAGAGGACAAATATACTGCAGAGCTCAATATCAAGTATCAGATGAACACCGACTATACAAACTGTCAGACTTTGAGCTGCTAAAACGCAGGATAAGGTGAAACCCTGTGAGCTGACTGCCTCTCTTTAATATTATTCAGCTCCTGTGACCTTACAGTTATTTAACAGTCTAAAATGTCACACACAGAGAAGGAAACAAGGAAAGTAATTTAAAGTCGAGGATGCTACTTGTTCTGCACTCAATTCGTCTTTCTCAGGAGCTGACATAAAAGCAGCTCAGCGCCTGTGAGTGTGAGTGTGTGTGTACAGTGTGAAGTAGGCAACCTATAGCTGGAGGGAAACAAGGCTTTACCGGGACAACATACTACGACACCTGAGTACACACTGACTCAAGTTGAAATGTTGATGTTTGGGCTGCAGCAGTGTGAGGAAAAGAGGGTGAACTACAAAGTAAGTTGGATTTACTGAGTCTCTCCTGGTCAAAACAAAACTCTCCGGTCAGAGATAATCCATTTCACTAAAGTGGTTATCTGTTTTGTTCTGCTTTCTGCTCCAGAAAGCAGATGCTGCTATTATATGCTGGTATAAAAGGGGGGATCTTTGAAGTTTTTCCACACAAAAACAGAAAAGATCTGATGCCATCAACTTTAGTCTTGTAGGTCATAAAATCACCAGCAGTAAGTAGTATATAAATAAAGATTATTATTATTATTATTATTGTTATTGTTATTATTATTGTTGTTGTTGTTGTTCTTCTTCTTCTTCATCTTCTTCTTATTGTTGTTGTTGTTATTATTAGTGCTATCATTACCTTTTTATTATGTTGTTGTTGTTGTTGTTATTGTTATTATGGCTAAAGTGATGCTGCACCTGCCAATAAGTAGAGAAAAATATCTAAGATTTTTTCCTTCAAACAAAGAACTGCATCATTCTGAAGCATGTGGCGTTAAAACGAACATCATGTAGTGCACCCATAATGCCTTTGATCAATGCTGTTACAAATGCAAAATTCAGATCTTTTTACAGTTACATTTCATGCAGATTATCTTTCTCAGGAACTGCATTTAGATCTGATATTTCAGTACCTGTGATGTAAATCATGACCAGCTCTTTGTGAACCTGTATTACACTGTAGCTATTTTGTATAAATCCATCTTCTCCTATCTGCTGCATGTAAAATTATCCTAAGAAAAGGAAATAATGAGCCTAGGAGGGTGTGTTTTCCTGTATCAAACTAAATAATTGAATAATAGAGAAAAAAACACTGCAGCACTGTATTCCGCTTGCACCTTTGTTACTGTACTGTGCTATACTTGTCATTTAATAGTCAAATAACAATACAGTTGAACAGGTTTTTATACATCTTTCTCTGTGTTTCTTTCTGGCCCTCACTGAATATAACCAGGAGATAAAACAGTGAAAGGCTAGTGCCATGGAGCTGATTTCATTCAGGTGAGGAGAAAATCTGACCTCAGTGTTTCAGCAAGATAAAAAAACAGGTAGCTGTAGGCCATTTGAATTCTGTTTTTAGTCTGAAAATACCAACGCTGTGGCAAGCTGCTCTTTCTGTGCATTGCAAATTGTAAAAAGGCACCTTCGTGTGATATTGCCAGACGATATCATGACAACAAATTAAGCTAAATTCCTTTTTAATGGGAGCTGCAATATTAGAGTGAGTCATTTGCTGTGTGAGGAGCTTTGCTGAGATGAGTTTCCTGATGATGATTAATGGAAACTGAGCGGGGACCTGATAGCCTCAGGGGATTTTACAAATAGTTGCCAGGTTCATATTTCTAGTTGCCAAAGTGGACAGAATGGTTTTAATGGCACATAAACACTGAAATAATTGTTCCGCTATTCTGAGGAATCACATTCAACACCTGATTTTTTCCCCTTACCTGTCCCTGTCCACCATTATACAGGCATGTCTGTCTGTTTAGTCTCCCATGCATATAGATCTTTTCAGAAGTGTCAAGAGTGAATTTGTGTTTTCTGACTGCCAAACCAAGTTATAAATCATTCAACTTTAATCCTTGATTATTTATACTCCAATGTTCTTTGGGAATAAATATCATGAGTGGAAAAACCCATTTCTTCTGCCATGATGCTGGGTAATTGAGCAGCCAGCATTGTCTGTATTTGGCGGGTAGTTCCTGCATATGTTTGTTCCGAACCGCATCCTTATTAAAGGCGCTGTAGGGAACTTTCTTGATTCTGGTGACCATGTTCAGATGTAGTGCTTTCCCTGGATGAAGACTAATAGTCAACTGATTTCAGTTTATCAAAAGCTGAAGCCGATAACAAGATCTGGTTGGCTGATGACTAGGTTCTGATGGAGCACTATCACCCACTGTTGTAAGAATGTGCTTCTGGCTAGTGTGTGAATTTGTTGTGGGAGGAAATAATTGGAATATGGATCTTGTTTGTTATGCTACTTTGCACAAGACACATTTTTGCAGGGTGCAAGGAGATGAGATTGTGTAAAATCTGACTCAAGAACAGGCATTGAAATTCAGTATGAAGAATTTATGCTTATAATCTGATATTCTAACCTGACGGGAGACGAGGGGACACGACAGGCAGACAAATGTGGACATTGTCGCAGACATGAAATGAAAAGGGGTATTTGATCATGTAGTCTGGTGTTGCTTCTGTAACTTTCAGATCTTTGTAATGGTGACAGCTCTGTGGTTTACACAATCCCTCTGCAGGTTGAATATGCACTCAGAGATCTGGGTATCAAAGTTACATTTTCAGAGGTGATGGTAGACACTAGGCAGACCCTCACCTGCAGCAGACAAAAGAACTGCTTCTCCCTTTTCCTCCTTGGAGGCGTTTTCTTTTTTTTTTTTTTTTTGTGCTGGACTGATGGTGAATTTGTCATTTTGGTGCAGTTTCACCAAGTGTTGTTCTTGGAAATAGAGTTTTCCATGAAAACACCTGACAGACTCTGACAAGGGCCAGGGGCGGTAGGAGGCTTGAGCGGCCGTCTCGTCATTTAATATGCAGAAAAAACCCTAAAGAAGTCTAATTATCGTCTGCAACAGGATTATTAATGGCCATTTGTGCTTTTGCTGTTTATCTGTAAGCCATGTAGCTTACCTGCCTGCAGCACACACACCTGGATACTTTCTCTTCAGAGGCACAGCAGAAGTTCAGGCTGTTTTCAGCCTCTCATTGAGAAGTCCATCTATCTCCCTGTCCATCTCTTAAGGGCTTGCCTCCTCAAGGCAAAGCCCGAAGCAGCACAAGGTTAAACCTGCTCAGATCTACTTAACCACCTGCAGCCTAGACGTTTTCACTGTTCACAATTTAAAAGCCTAGGGGCTGTTTTTTTTCCACGGGACTACATCTGAAATCATTATAATGTTTGCAGAAAGCAACCAGATGAGACGGAGCCTGCAGGTATAATATTATGAGAAGGATTTTACAGCTCCAAAGCACAAAATATTATTAAAACAACTGCAGGGGGCTGATGGAGTTAATAAATCCAAAAGACTCAATAGTTATTTCACCTGATATTTTCAACTCTATTACTGTTTTGGAACCAGCACTTAGCTTTCTCAAGGTTCTAGTTTTGACACTTTACAGCTCACTTCAATATATAAAACCAAAACATTTGCAGGATCAATGCAGGAACTAATGATTTTCTTTCTCTTGGGTGAATGGAAACCTAATTTAGCAGGAATAAGAAATAAACTATATAATAGAACCACACTTCAGTAACATTTTAATTAACACTATCAATTTAAGACTGGATGGATAAAGTAGAAGAAAAGGGAGTTTAGTCTGAGATAGGGATGTGCCGAGCAGTTTTTGAGGAATTGGAGCTGAGCTGATGTCTTCAAGAGCTGTTGCAGTTTTGCTTCGTGCTGAAGTGATCGGTTCAAGATTACCAGATTACTCATTGCTCCTTTCTAATGAACATCTGATGGTTAAGGAAATGAGCACGAGCGTACTGCAGAGATCCAGCAGGCTTAGCAGGAATTATAAGAAGGCTGATTAAGAAATCAGTGCTTACGATGTGTGATGATTTAACAGCAATATAGCTTCTATAAATAGCTACAGCTGCGCATAATATGACCTCAGTGATGCAACCCAGAAGATGAATGAAGTAGTAGTTTTGCTGTCCCACTTTCACAGGGCTGCTGATATACAAACAGCTGATGAGATGCGTCATGTTGACAGTAGGAATGTGCGAGTAAATAAGACTTATTCATCTGCACCTATTTTGTCACTGTGATTGAGGTCTATTCAGCAGAAACCGAACCTTTACACAGCTCCCATTTCAAACAGGAATCTACACTGAGATTATTCCACCTTGTCCCTCCAGAGATATTCTGTGAGCTAAAAAAAAAAAAAAAAAAAGAGTCTTTTCCACATGGGCAGAGCAGTAAATGTTTGTACCTCCGACTGGAACAAATGCCTCAAGAGGGCATATAGGTGAGGACATTGGCTGTAAATACTTTCTCTGCTGAATGGAGTTGGGAAATGAGACATAACAGCTCCTCATTACTTGTTAGCATTGCTTGAGCTTCAACCCTGCAGCCTCCTGCAACCTCTGAGGTTGTAAATCTTTCCTAAATGGCGAGCAAATCTCCCTTTTCACATCTTGGGTTATGGCCACGTTAATCAAACATAATGTCCTAGGAGCGTGTGTGCTGTTTAATTTGTTTTAGTGTAGTGAACAACTTTTTGTTCCAGCCAGCTCTGCTCCACACGGAACTTAATTTTATTCATTTAACCGGGTGTATTTTTAACTACTGGGAGTCTGCTGTGGCTGTATCCTTATGTGCACTACAATATTCTCAGCCAAATTTCATATGAGTCAACATATTTCAATCAGGTATTTATGTGCCAAGATCTGGTCGTACAGAAAGACCACTAGCATAATATTTATTAGAGAGTCCCAGGAGCTATATTAACGGGGACCACCAGTAATCAGAGTAATATCCTGATCAGAACAAAGGCACATCATGTAAACACCTCATTCAGAAGAGACTGTTCTGATCTGGAATATTAGGAAAGAGCTTTCAATGAGATCATGTTGAAGGGTTTATGTCATATTTACGAAAGAGGATTAGGGCCACATGAAGAGAAAAAATAATAATTATTACAGGAACAAGATTAAAGTAGAAATTTCAAGATTAAAGTTGAAATTTTGAGATTAAAGTCGACATGAATAAAGTCGAAATTTCGTGAATGAAATTGAAATTTTGAGATTAAAGTCGAAATGACGATATTAAAGTCAACGCAAATAAAGACGAAATTTCATGAATAAAGTCGTACTGTTGAGATTAATGAAAATGAATCAACAGTATTGTCGCTCATCTCTCGACATGTCCTCTGATGAAGAGTTTGTAAAGCTGTACTTTACAACTGGATTTAGTAACAAGGAAATCTTCGCTCTTGTAGCACACAAACACAGTGTGGTCATAAGTATTCAGACTCTGAAAAGACTGTGCTAAAGATTGTGATTCAGATGCAGGGTTATCGATGGTTACACCTGCGTGTTATAGGGGAGGCTATATGTTGTATTGTAAGTTAGAGCACGACAACTGATCAAGCTGATTGATCCTAAAGGTGTGGAGCACAGACGGTCTGGCGTCTGAGGCACAGGCATTACCGAGGACCCAATGAACTCTGGCACATGGATGGGTTTGACAAATACGGCATTTCATTTCGACTTTTTTAAATTTCAACTTTAATCTTGAAATGGAAATTTAAAAAAATCTCCTCCTGTAATTGTTTTTTTCTCTTCTTGTGGCCCTAATCCTCTTTTGTACATATGTTATGTGTTTTTCTTACCGCCATAATTTAGTCATAACCAGGACTGAAACCTTTTTTTTTTCTTTGATACACACTGTTAGACCTTGGTTTCAGGATTTGATATGCTGTCCAAACCTGTTTGAACTGAGGTTGGTTAGTCAAAATGTTTAACAGCTTGCAGCTACGGGTGCTGCTGGTGTTTTGGTGTAAACAGTGACCCTGGGGGCGCTGATATCCCAGCAGTACAGGGTTCTGTTCCACCCTGCAGCCCCTCTCCTGCATGTCACTCCCCACTCTCTCCCCTGTTTCCAAACACAAACTTGCTTGTTCACACCATTGAAAGAAATGCTTATAAAAAAATTATTTGTTCCTGATTCCTGTAGATCAGGGATGCAGATTTAAAGTACTCTCCATGATTGATCTTTGGGACTTCTTTTTTTCCTCAATCATATGTTTTTCACAACAACGTCATGGACAGAATTGACAGTATAGTGCAAAGCAAAAGAGGAATAAAAATTGTTTAACATGTCAGATATCAGTTTATAGGGCAGGCTCATAAAAATAATCTTTGTGGGAATCACAAAGAGCAAGGCTTAAACAACCAAATGTGGGAATCTTAAGAATTAATTCCAGACTCACACCGTCCAGTTTTCAGCATGCTTGTTCTTATTGATAGAATAAACATGTCCACATGGTTGTGTGTCAGCTTGGGCTGCAAGTGGGTCATGATCGGTCAGCGTCAGAAAACACACACTGAGGAGGCACAGATGTTGCTGGTAAGCAGGTAGGTGCCAGCTTCCACAGTCTTTACGCATTAGCTGTTCACTTGTCTGTCAGCTTTGTTCCCAAAGATGAGGTAATGCTCTGGCAATAAGTTCACAATCCCCGTGTCAGCAGTGGCAGCTGTTGTGCAGTGCACTCCAAAACAAGCTGGTGGAGACTTCATGCAGGGCTGAGTGTCTCAGCTGTGAGCGACACCTACGAAGCCATGCTGGTTTGCATTCAATCATGCTTTAAGATTAAAATACCACACTGATAGATAGCTGGATGTAACATAAGACCACACATGTATCTCTACCTGGTGGAAAATGGGACAGAAATATCTTGATCTGTCTACTGTAGATTGAATCGTATTTATGTTATTTGAATTGGAAATGATGAGTTATAAATAAATATGGCAACTGACTTTGGAGAAATCTGAAGCTCAAAGTATTCTACTTTATTTTCTTCAAGATGCTTAAAACAACATACTTGCTCTCTCCCAATTTGTGATTTACAGTTCAGGAAACATCAAACCCTTCCTCTTCTTATACGAGCAGTATTGTCTTCACTCTGATTCTTAGTTCTCACCTGAAAAATAAGACCTTTGCCCGGGTAGCTCATCATTGTGGACACGGAGTATTTGAGGTAACATGATTTAATGTGCTAGTCTGGCCCTCACGCTCTGGTAGGACACAGTGTCAGCCATTTTTCTTGAAGATGTACTGCTGCAGACAGGGACAGTTTTTTGTCAATGACCACTGGCTGTAAGCCGGTGATATAATTATTGTGCCATTTAGGCTCTGCTTTAATTTCACATACACCTTGATATGTAGCTTGGCACAAAATCCCTCCAAAAAAAAATCCTTTGGGTCTGTTACAGGTAGAAAACTGCCAGCTCACCCTTCAGCCTTTAATTTTATTTTAACTAAAGCCGCATGATTATGACAGTTTGCACTTAAGCTCTCGCTCCCTTGAGAATATCCTCTCTGACACCAAAGTGTTTGTTAATACTCTCGCCTAAATCTTCCTCTGATCTGTGTGTCGCAAGCGCTCCAAACTATCAACATCAAAGCAGGAAAAGGATCACAGGCGATTTACCTGTTACAGTTTTTTCAAAAGGTACTTCAGTGCTGTCCAAGAAACAGAGGTTTTCTAGATGGTGTTTTAAAAAGCCACGACTTTGACCGTCCTTCTGCAGGGGTATTCAGACATTATTTGTTATCAGTACAACTTCTTGGAGAACAAGAGGTCACATGATGAATGATCATGACCCACAAAATCTGTGCGTGTGCTGCTCTTTGGTGGGCAGCATAGAAACACAAATGTTTACCGACCTTTCATGAAGGTTTAAAACCAAAGGCTGCTGCTTTTACAGGACTAACGGAGCTTAAAAATCATTCTGCTCTGTACATCTAGAAATATGGCAGCACTGTGAATACCACCACTGTAATTCATGTACAATTCATATTAATAAGTAGATGTATTGCAATTCCTGGTGGGTTTTGTTCCAGTGCATTTTGAAGTAATAGAAAGGTAGTTTTTTAGTCAGGGGAGACTGTGCTTCAAAGTTTGACAGAATAATAAAATAAATTAAATAATCCTGCAGAGACTGGCTTTAGAAGAGTGCACAAGCACATGTAGCATGCTGCCTGGCTTCCTGCTTGCTGACACTAATCCAAAGGCAGCAGGGATTTTCTGCCTCTTGCTGCTTCTTGCCTCACACCCCTGCAGGGCTCTCAGATCCACACTGGCTTTCCCAGTCACACACACGTGTGCAAACATACACAGATGAACACAAGATGGACTATAAATATTCGGGCCAGGAATGGCGGTATGTGCAGCACAATGTACGCGGGGGACATAACACACGCTGTGCTTATTTCAAGCCTGCCACCAAGCTCTCTGTCAGCACTTTTCTGTGGGAAAAAAAACTCGCACATCTGCTCGTCTGTTGCTGTTCACTTAAGCAGAATGCGTTCTACAAAGCTCTAAATTGAGCTCTGCCGTCAGTGTTTTCTTACCGTCTTCCACACTACTCATTAGATGTGTTAGCGGCAGCATGACAAGTCAAGCTTCAGGTGTTGTATTTGTTTACGTTTGGTGTCTGAGGGTGTGAGGTGCTGTTTGGAAAGCACATGTGCAGCCTAGCCAGTCACATTAAACTGTGTCAGACTGTCATGGTAAATTAAAGGTGAGACACAAATGGAAGCGGGGGTCAGGAGACATCATTTATGCTGAAATGTAGCTGTGATTTGCCCTCAGCAAGACGTCCAGGCAACAGCCCTACCTGACTGAAAGTTACCCTGACTGAAAGTTACCCTGTTTGTGCTGTTCTCAGTCATTGAGTATCAAATGACTCCGCTGTTGCCTGAATGTACTGTTCATTCATGGGGTTACATAACCAGTATACATTTTAACATAGTATGATATGAGACAGTGGGAGCTGCTGAAAACTGGGTTACTGCCAATTACTTCCATGCCAGCAGCCAAGTGATCTATAAGTTAAGATGTTTTTCTTGTCTGTGACACTGATGTAAACAGACAGCAGCTCTTATCTAATCTTTTAGCCCCACAACTCACTGACAGAACAAATGGTTTGGAGTCAAAAAAGCCAAAGTAAGGGTTGTCTGCAGTCTTGGGAACACATCTTGTCTGCTGACTTTTTTAAGCTGTAAATGCAGGACAAGAAAACTCAGACATCTCATATACAACACTGTAACTCTGGTATATTTTAAGCAATAAGACATGTCCCAAGGGGTTGTCAGTGTCAGCAAGCCTTCCACTTTGGTCCAGACTCAAAATCTTAAAAAACGTCTGCACTGATTCAACATTCACCGTACCCGTTAGAGAAATACTTTAACTTACTACAGTGATCCATACATTTTTAACAGCTCCATCATCCAGTCAAAATGTATACAGTACAACACAGCAAATACCTGCAAAACTAAGCTCACATTAGGCTTATATACTATCTAATCAAGTGCCTTTTTTGTCATCTAGACTGAGATATTTTAGTGTTAAATTACCGCAGAGAGGATGGCACTTGAAGAAGCCAGCAGCTGCTTTGCTGCCAAAGCTGTTGTATATATAGCAAGGAAGACAAGTATAGCAGCATCATTTTCTAACAGCTTTTCTCCCTCATCTGGCCATAATTATGTATTTGAAAAAAAAAAAACAGTGGTGAAGTGTTAGGTAAATAAATCATGTGGCGTGCTGATTTTAAGACTTCTCATTTTAGACAACAAATGACCAGCAGAGGGGGTGATGTAGGTCTCAGCAGCAGAGGGTTCGTCCCATAGCACAAGCAAATGCACTTGCACTTTCTATTCATACTCACAAATACAAATGCCACCTCTAATGAGCTCAACTTTAGCTGGCAGGATAGTAAAAAAACTGAACTGGGGACTCACAGTTGCAAAGAACCTGCATGTTGTAGACTTCATGCAGGAATACAGCTTTTCTCACAGCACTTATACATCACATGAAGCATCACATTTTCTCCGACGTTTTCTCCGCATATAGATTTCTAACTGCAGTCTTGCTACATTGAGCACAATTTTGTAATTAGTGTTAACAAAAGCTCGGAGCTGTTATCCACAAATGGAAACCGTTGTTGTCTTTGCTCATTCCTGTCAGTCACATCGCACCACCTCCAGACCAGCCTCCTCCATCTCGTGCCCCCGCAGGCTTTTCTCACATGTGCTCCTCAACAGTGACTTAATGAAACGCCTACAATCACTTACCAACAGCAGATGTAGATGCCTGCCAGTTGTGCAGCCGAGCACAAAAATTACCACGTTGTTTCCCTTGATAATGGTAGCTGCTGGCAATCCATTCCCCAATTTACAATCCAAATTACAAACTAAAACTGGTTCTGCTCAACTGACCCATAGGAAATGTGTGTAGGTAATTTGATTTTAAGTCTTAAAAATGGTGTGGCATTAGATGGATCCCTATATTTTGCAACAATATCAAATCAACAGCGTTTGGATAAAAAATAAATCTAAGTGAAAAACAATGCTGTGGCTGAAAATGTCCAAAAAGCATGTGTACATCTATGTACAGGGCGAGATATCACATCTTAAACTACCTCTGGATAAACATAATTTCTGACACTAAAAGGCTCTCAACTTACATGTGCTTGATGGTCGTGTTGAAGACTGCAACCTTTCCTTGTTGAAGGGAGGCAAAATCCAATTAAGTTATTCAATATTATGGAGAATTAAGTTGGACTGGGTCTGAATGACAATGGAGCCATCCCTACGCTGTCCTAGTTAAGTTCTATATTTATATCTACATGAGCTTTATCTGTAATGTGACAGCAGCACGCAAGGCAGCAATTTCGCTTGTAGGCATAAAGAAAGAGCCACTCTGCTTGCAAACAGAAAAAGCTATAGTGTCAGCTGTTTTGAGGTATTTCACACTTTGCATTGCCAACTTTGTATGGTTGATTGTAGCTGTGAAAATATGTGTATGGCACAACATGCACGGATGAGCATGGATTAATTTACTTTAATTTCTCCATCAGCATGTATTTTATTGACATTTTGAGGTTTGCTCTTTAGCTGTAATCCCTCTGATTTCCCAGATGTGCCACCAAGATGCTAATGTCTATCTACAGATTCTACATGAAACATAGTCTCTACCCAAGAGTCTGTGTTTTCAGCATTGGAAGTGGTCTGTTCCCTGTTTGTTGTATGTTTGTGGTCTAAACAGTGTTATTTAGGGATTCTCCAAGGAGACTACTTTCCTTATTGTTAAGACAGACATTTAAATCCTGACAAACAAACTAGTTTTAAGGTAGGATAACTGGTAAAACAGTTAAAATTGGGCGCAATTTCTTTGACAGGGCTTATTGCAGGAGCACAGAGTCTGCGATAATGACGGTGAATGGTTTTGCCACATGCGTCTATCCTCAACAGAGCTTCACTCTTTTTGTGAGTAAAACTCTGCATGTCTGCTTATTATGCTTATTATATATCATTTTAACCAGACACGGCCCCCATACAACTTTATTGCTGGTTTCTAAATGCAAAACCTGCCAAACTGTGTTTCAAGATGCAATCATCTGTGCTTGTTTACATCCATCAGTGTAGTGTTGTGATGGTTGCTTCGTCATATGGATGAGTGCTAATGTAAGGGATGGACTAGACCAAGAAATGCAGCTGTTAACTTGACAGGGAAGGAAGTCTATACTGGAAGTCATTTAAATGTAACAGCTGGCTGCACCAAAATCACTGAAAGTCAGCATCCAGTCTGACGCATGTTTGTAAAACTTCATCAAACATCGATGGGTGATGATTGTCATTCTGGGACACAAAGATGCTGGTAGACCATTATTTTAATGAGAAATAAGTAGTCTGTGAATTTAAGTCTGTAGATTATTTTCGTATTAAATTTGGCAGAGCAGATTTCAAGTCTGGCTCACGTTGCCTTTTAAAATAAGCTTACCTATCACTCAGTTATTGGTTGGAGACCTGTTTTCTGTATCAGTTTGTAGCAAACATGCTCAGGCTGCATTGATATTCTCTCCTCATGTTTTAAACCACGTCATAAAGTCTTATGTGATTTTCATGTCTCCTCTTCAGATGATTTGTTGTATTAATTAGATGTTGGACTCCGTCCCTGTTCAATACTTAATTTTTTAATCCTATTCCTGTTCAGAATTTGATCAATTCTCTCTGAACAGAGCAGCATCTGCTGCCCTTCTTGCTGAATGAAACTGTGTTACTTTGAACGTAGACTTTATTGTATTTTTTCAGAGGTGTGGCCGATACAGTGGGAACAAGTAATGAGATTGAAAACAGCTGCTGAACAGCATGTTTATCAACAGCCTGTGCGATCAGTTTGATTTATTCAACATGGCCGACAGCCTGGAACCTGCAGGCGAGAGACGAATATGCCTTATTACTTTAGCATGTGATTGGATGTAAAAATGTGTGATTGAAATATCAGCATTAATTGGTTTTTAATATTTATGTCTTATTAAGGCACCTTAATGATGATATATACAATAATAAGTAGATAAATCACAGTAACACTTTTTTTGTTTTTCCCTGTGTGGTCCTGATTCAATCAGTTCCTACAAAACTGAAAAATCGACCTTTGTTCGGGTGGAGGATTTTTTGTGTCTTTGCATACTCAATGCTTTTACAACCACTGGCTGTATATCAACAAGAGCATCTCGTCTCCATCTCCTCCCAGCTAGAATACTGCCAGAATTGGCACCGACATATTGCACTGGTGAAGCCGTGGCATGGGCTGAAGTGATCTGGCTGATGAGGATGTCACAACACTTCTGCTTTTGCATTGAACTTACCAATAAAACGTCAAAGACCCCTCAGGCTGGTTCAGTCCACATCAGACCAGATTCTTGTGCTGATCTGATGCAGACACACTCTCTGTTTTGGAAAGTCATTGACATTTATGTCAGTATTTGTTATGTCCTCTCCCGCCTGTCCTCTTCTACTCTGCTAAAACCCTGCAGGAGCCCATATTTGTCAACAGAGCTGTCAATCAACCATCTTTTTAACATTAAATAACTTATTAAAAGTACACCTCTTTAAAAAAGGAACACCTTCACATAAATCAGCATGACAACAACAAACTAAAATGACAAAAATGATGTTTAAGAAATGTATTTGACATTTCTCTTAATTATGTAGTCTTACCCAGGTTCCTGCTTTAATAGAGGGAATGGGCTTTAAGACCTATACTGTCACGTGTCACCAGGGGGTGCTCAGAAAGTTTTGGTTTCCCTCAGTGTTCTGTAATCCAGCCTGTGGTTGAAACTGATCAGCAATGCTACTTTAACAATCAATTTTTTTGATGATCATATTTAGTGATTAAAAAAAGGAAAGCAAGAAAATTAAAGACTTGGAATTGAGGAGTAGCAAGGTGTAGGAAAAGTCATGTTTTGGTCACCATGGCTACCAAGCGACTCTGCAATTAAGAATGTGATCTTTGTATTACAATTAAACGATTTGATTTGAGATGACACCATTCAGTTTCTCATAATTACAGGGTAAATTGTTTTGGCATCTCCAGAAAACAGAGGGTACATATTTGAGTTAATTGACATATCACAAGAAAACGTAAACATCACCAGACAGTAGACTAAGGGAGTGATATGTAGTTAAGTCTACTTCAGCTACATCGAAGCTCACATGATTTTGTTTCAGCCAGAACTGAGAGTTTGACTGGAACCAATGCTGCAACATTATTAAGCTCACCCAGCATTATCAGCTCAAATCAGTCACTGTTGTCAAGATAAAATCTGATAAACATGAGTAATGACTGTGATCAACATGAATGTTTGATCATTTTGACAAGTTAATTATCTGATGATGACAAGATAACAGGGAACATTTTCTCTAGATTTTGAATCAATTAACTTTTAATCTACAGATAACAGTTTAGTTGGACTGATATTCATTCTCTCTGTCTCTGCCCACCCATCTGTTGGTGCAGGGAGGACGGACAACCATGTGTCTCCTCTCATACACACACAGAGCTGCTGTCAGCCTACCTCCATGAATTGCCAAAGAAGCTTCACAAAAACAAACCACAACCATCGTCCTACCTGTGAATACTGCCAAATGTGATGGTCTGGAGGAGTTGGAGTGATTGAAGTTGTGTTTACATCCATGTAACTGCAGGGGTGGAAATCATGTTCACCCACATCTGATCACTTTCACAGTGATTGAGAAAAAAAAATCATCATATGCAGCAAAGACAGCATGTTAATTCTGTCTCTTAGACTGCCTGTGGTTTTACTCATGAATTTGCATTGTAGACCTGTTTCCAACCAATATATCACCTGAGTGCCACAGCCAGACTTTGATGTATTGCTCACCTTGTAATTAAATGAGCGCTATTGCAGAGCGGTGCCTAAATATAATTTGATTGTTTTGCCCTTTTGCCCCCTTGTAACTAATGTCTCAGGCTTCTGGGCCTACAGAGAGCTTTATGAGACCAGACATCACATTACTGCCCACTCAACATCTGCTGCCAGAGTCACGCACAGGCATTTTTAGAGAGAAGTAGCTTCTCAATTTAAAAAAAAAATGTTGAGGAAGAACGCTTGAGACAACAAGGGCAGGAGTGCATTGGCCCGAGTGTCTATAAACTCTTCTCTCTGAGCGTTTTACGACACTACACGTCTGACTGACTTCCAGATAATTACTAGCTATTAGCAAAAACAACTGTTGATTCAACAGATCTAGTTTATGCAGAAATAAACCGCTAAAATTGTCCACTTAGTGGTTTAGAAACAGCATCTTTTCCACAGTTGTAGTTGTTTAAAAATGTTGAAAAGCAAAAGATGATTGTGTTGCATTTGAAATGACCCACATGAGTCAGAACATCAAACTGTAGGATCCAAAGTAAACTCAGCCTCTGCAGTACAGTAAACCAGGAGAGGTTAGAAATGGATGACAACTACTGTTCCCATGGTTACTTTGGCATTGTAGCCACGTTTCGACTCTCTGTCAGTGTGCTCTGTTTTTGAAACCACAACACAGTGACTTGTCAAACTGCTGAATTAATTTGTCTGTCACATCTCCCACAGCGTCTCCTGTCTGCCCTAAATCATGCCTTCCCAGCAAATCTTCATTTACTCATTTACAAGAAAATCTTCCTAAATGTCACATTCTGAAGTCTTAACTTAAAATGTGTCCATCTGTCTCTCCGTTTGCTGCAAATGCAAAATAGAAGAAACCTTGAGATATGGAAATCTTCAGGGGAAACATGGCAGCCTTTCTCCAAAATTTAGAGCTCATGCACAAGTCTTTCCCACAACAGCTGGCTCTCTCCCAGATGGCAAACCCATGAGTTTCTACTCTCCAGCTGGAAACTCTGGTCACACATCAGACAAATCTATCACTGGGTCAGAGCAGAAAAAGCAACCTTTCCTGTTTTCCAGTTCTCCTCCATAAAAAAAACCCACATACACAGGGAAATGGCTGCCTTCTCGTCTAACAGTTTCTTTGCAAAGCTGCACCTTGTCATAATTTAGTCATAAAATATCTGTAAAGCTGCCCAGCATGAACATGAGAGCAGTGACTCACACTTTGGCCTGGATCACCTGTTTGGGTTGACTCAGCCCACCTCAACAGCACTTGGCAATTTGCAAAGATGAATAATGAAGCAATAATCCACAGCCGGCCCCAGTACAGTGATACAAGGGCTGTGCTCGTGTGAAATGCACTCAGTGAAGTGTTTATTTTTTGCATATTAGAGGTCATGCTAGCTTATGTAACCTGCTGGAGAAGGGTTTTATTAATTTGTAATTGATTTCTGCTGTGGATTTTTAACTTTGTTGCCTTGTGAACCTTTTAATAAGGCCAGACTTTGACCTCTCTGCACAAGTGGAGCAAGGGGTGGCAAGGGCTGCGAGCACTTCAACCAAAAAGCATTTATATATTAAATGGACTACTTTTAAGCTATGAAAGAGATCAGGTCTTATTTTATGTGAGGTATCATCCTGTAGAAGAGAAAAACCAAATAGATTTTTTTGTAGAAAATAAATTGAGGGGCTGCAGCAATCTCTTGTTTGTGGGGGTGTTCAGGAGCACTTAATTACCTGATCAGTTAAAGAGAAATATAAATATATATTAACCCTAGAACACGATCGCTAAAATTAGTAACACCATCATTATTGCTGGGTGATTTTTTACCAGACATAATATACCCAAGAAAAAGTACTCGTCATCAAAATGGGACAATACATGACAAATAAATTAGTTTTCTTTTACCTTTAACTGTGCAATGTCCAAAGGCAGGAAAAAAGTGTCATGAAGGGACCATATTAAAATGCAACAAAATAACTAAAATTAGGCATTTATGAACAAAAAATTCCTTGTGCCAAGGACCCTAAGTCTCCCCTGGCGAAGACTCAGGGTCCTTGGCACAATAACAGCTGCAGGAGAGAGAACCAAAATATAGCATATTTTGAGTGAGTAAAAATGACCAGCTTACTAAAATATTTCTTATCACCATATGAATTGCCTTGAAGATCACTACTTGGTGATAGTTATTCAGAACCACTGCGCTAACTAAAGATAGCATGCAAATTCCAGGACCACTTTTACTGACCTTATTCCCTACATGCAGCTATCAAATCCACCCAAACCTACTTTACCCTCTATCACTATTGCTGGGTGAAAATCACCCGAACATGTTCCTGTTGGAAAAAGCAGGTTTTGGATCAGGGAAACAAATATGCCTTCAAAGATGTCAAAGGCAATGCTGAAGCTACCCAGGGACACATGACACTCAGACAAATGCAACATCATGGAAATCACATAAACATGTCTGGTCGGGTGAAAATCACCCGGCGATAGTTTTCTAGGGTTATATATATATATAGTAAGTCACTGAGAAAAAAGCCAAAATTGAACTCAATTTGATCAACTTGCCTAAACAAGTTTGATTGGTAAAGTGAAGTGGTTATAGACAAATATTTCCAGACACAGCCTATATACAACTTTAGTACCATATTCTAGATTCAGAGTTATAGATGCCATATATCACCTGTGCTTGTTTACATCCAGGTAGTGGAGTGTCACAGCTTTTTTCACAGTTTCCATGGACCAGAAGTGTAGCCCTGGGTAGTGGTAGGTGGCTGCTCAACAGTATAGATCAACATGTAACTGCCATTTCAGGCCTACAGTAATAAAAGTATTGATATGTTTCAAAACTAGTAATTATGGTACGCTGGATACAGTTTGGGTTAACCTTCAACAAGTGACACTATCTGCTGGGCAAGATGACAAGATGCAACACTCAATCCATAGGAAGGGTACTTATATGTAATATTCTTGCTCTGAGTGTAAGATTTTGTAACCAACACTTTGAGTACATAATGTAGCCCACAATTTCACCAATTACCGACAGCAGCCTTCTTAGTTTGTATAAGGATTTCTTAATGATGCTCAAGCCTGCCTGTGTTGTTAAGCAGCTGTTTGTGAATCAAGAGGGGCAGAAATCAGACTCAACAGAAGTGGGACTGAATGCATATGCCAGACCAACAAACAAATTCATCTTATTCTCATGTCAGGAGTTAAAAGATCTGCTTAACAGTATAAATACAAATAGATATAAGCTTATGAAATGGGTTAATGGAGTTAAGTCTCCAATTTGTGATGACTTAGAGGACTAAGAGATTTTGAGTCAAAGGTAAATAAATGAATCTTGTATCATTATGCTGCTTTTAAGGGCCCCTATCATTAGTTTTAGTGTTTAAATCTGTATGTATGTGTGTGTTGGGGGGCGGGTGTTCAAGTTTTTTGATCCCTGAAATTAATCTTTAGACGCCTTGTGTGGTCCCGCCCCCTGTGTGAGTAACCAATGGACTGTAGGATCTTTTACCTCATCGATTTAATCACTTCCTGTTGACAATTAAGCTCTCATTAAAGTCATAACAACGATGTCTGTATAATTAAGCTGTTTACTGCACCGTACATATTTTTGCACATTAAGTTAGCATCAGTATTCTGCTCATGCCCAGAACAGGGGAAGCACTCATCTCCATAACTAACACATACTATGGGAAATAAAGTGTGCAGCTTTTGAAAGGCAAAACAAACCCTAGAGCTCCCAGGTCTGAAACATGCTTCAGCTTTAACAGATCACGTTTTGATGATCACATTTTCTTCTCTCAAAAGTTCAGGTAAAGGTGTTTCATCGCGTCACTTGGGAACAGGTCTCTGTGTACTTTCTGAGAGTAGAGGACAGTCAATTATCCTGCAGTATCTCCATCACGCTCCTTCAATGTCAAACTGCTGGCTGTTTCTGTTGCACTGTCTTCACATAATCCTTTTATGTTTTAAAAAAGTGTCTCTCTGTGCGCAGAGCACATACTGTATTTGCACTTAAATCATTGTGCACCTTTCATATGTTGAGGGAGATACGGCACTTCACAAACAGCTCTATCTCTTTTGAACTGTTTTATTGTGGATCTTCTTTTTTTTTCATTTGAATGTTATGGGTTGTTTTTTTCCACAACCTCTCCTCCTTCTTATAATACCTTTGTTTCTTTCTCTACTGTAGACTCAATAATTGCTTCCACTCCTTGGGGGAACTCTGAATGCCTGAATGAACACCTGCATCAGCATTAATCCAGGCCACTGTAATATAATGGTATAGATTCAATCAGTTTGGCAATAATAAACAACAACCAGCGACTCTGTTAATGCTTTTGTCAGTGCAAACCCAAGAAAAATCTTTGGTTTTGGATATAAAAATCCAGTTTGCTTTCTTCTCATCAATGAGATTTGTTTATCATTGAGCCGCTGCATTTTTTAACCAGTCTGTATAGGAGTGTTTATTGTTAGCAGCAAAGTGTGTCAGTCTCATGCAAGATTCAGACTGCTGTCATGCACAATGTGGCCTCACAAGGAAATGATGCATCTCATATAGCAGTAATGACAGTAATAATCCAGCTTGGTTTTGTTTTTATTCTCCTTTCTCTGTTGTGATCTCTCTCTCCTGCAGCTATATTGAACCTGTAATTACTGCTACTGAGCTTGTAAATGAGACCTGCCTTTAATTGTCTAAATATTCAGCATCCCCTTACTCGTTCAAGGGACCTCAGGATAGGCTTTTATGCAAAATTTTGACTTATCTACTTCTACATCACCTTGGCTTGTGACTTTCTCTTTTGCATTGTCAGGACTGGCACTTTGGCCAATGTCATGCTAGTCTCAAAACAGTGTAGTGCAGCAGGCTAATAAGGTTTAATTCCTATTTTTAAATCAGGAATTTTTAACAAAATAGTCCAAATTGAGTGACTTGCTTTTTAGAGAAGCCTCAAGTGGTCATTAAATGAACTGCAGTTATTTATGCTGGTTTAAAGTAGATTTTTGCCTTCTTAAGTTGGTGTTTTTTTGTAAATTGACTTCATATTTTTGTGAAAACAAGAAAGGACAGCCACACTAAGCTTTTGTAATATTGTGTTTTTCAGAAAACATGGCGAAGTGAAGAAAGGCCGAGAAAGAAGAAGGCTAAGAAGAAAGGCTTCTTATAAAGTTGGACATGTGTGAGGCTTCCTCTTCAATACAGGTTAGCTGAAAGTAATAAACAGCTAAAATTTATGGGCTAAAACTTATAAATGTGGATAAAAAATTGGGGTTCAACTTTTCAAAGCTTTACACACATTAATTTTGGTGACAACAGGATATATAGGTGTTGAGATTGTCCCTATCAAAACTATCATCTTATTCAACAAGATGAATATCTTCCCATTTTGAGGATTTTAAGCATAATGACAGCGCATGGTTTTGTTTCATAGCAGTCTTTTCCTCTTTGTCCATACTTTTGTTATCTAAATACATAATGAACCAGTTTCTGGTTTCATACTCTGAATATCAGGGGAAAAAATGAAGATGGTAATTTTCTTTTGGAAACAGAAAAGGAGGAATTGCTGGCGTCTGGTTCGGACAGCAGATTCAAACATTTGGACTTAATTAACAAAAAAGAAAAGGTGAAAGAGGTGGAAGAAAAAGACGAGCTGTGAGAGCAGCTGATGAGGACAACTGAAAAAGGTCTTTTCCTTTGTGCTCCAATATTGCCTGATTAGATACTTGAGGTTAATTGCTTTGGTATAAAGGTAAGCATGATTAGTGGATTGATTATGGGCCAGCTTCCCGGACTGTCATTAAGTCTCATTCTGGACTCAAAAGTGAATCTTTCCGTGGAGACTTCTCTTAAAAACTCATCTCTTAAGCTCAGGGTTTCCAAAGTTTAAATGAAAAGGAGACCTTTAGGGACTTGGCTGGAGAGTCTTATGTTGAGTTAGTACTGGCTGACATGACTCAAACTTCTGTGATTTTTTTGTGTGTGTCTTTAGTATCATTATAGAGATATTGATTTGTAATTCACAATTAATTTTGGAGCAATCTGTTGACTACTTTTAAGATTCACTGGTAAGTTTTTTGGAGTAAAGAAAAAAAATTGGAATCTGCTATTCTTTACTTGGCTTCATAAATCAAGAACCACATAGATGGTGATTGATAAGTTAGTGTAAAAACCAATCAAGTAATTTAGACTCTGAAGCAAATCTGATATTTGCTTAGTGGGAGACAACACTTAAAATGAAGTCAACTAACTTGGCTAGAAACCTTTAGCCTAACTGTCAAAAAACACTGCAAATAGTTGTACTCTGAGTGTTCAACGATATACAGGATTTTTATTGTAATTTTTGAAGTACTTTAAATTGTAACTTTGGACAGACATCTTCATTTTGAGTCTATAGCGTTGCAGGAGTCGCATTTGTCAACAGAGCTGTCAATCAGTCTACTTTTTTAAAATCAGATAACTAGTTAAAATTATACTCCACTGAAAAATAATCTTTAAGAAATAAATTAGAACAATAGTAACTAACTCAAATGGAGAAACTGCGTTTTGATTTCATAGTTTGACCAATGCCTGTTAGCCTGAGGGAGGTAAGCTTTTATGAATTATTCCACAGCCGGTCAGCAGGGGGAGCTCTTAATCGTTTGGCTTCACAGTCAGTGAACAATCATGAGCTTCTTATTCTTTTTGATTAAGCAGTTAGCGGACTTCCCTGTTCTATTTTTTAGCGTTAGTGCAGATTAATGCTCCAGAAAATCAACATTGCAAACATACCCACTCCTGGATTAGCACTTTCACTGTACTACATCTACTTCTCCTTTGTTTAGCAGGGTTTTTACTCCAAAAAATCGACCTCTTACAGTGCAACCAGCACGTTTACTTTCAATAACCAGAATGGTTGTACTCATGACCACAGATTTTTCCTCATTGGTTAAAATTAAACTAAATTATCCTTTGATCCCAAGCATACTGACCTCCTGAATCCTGGTCTGATAAGCAGAAAAAAACAATGTAGATGATTTTAAAATAAAGTGAAATTGTTCAGTATTATTCAGTCGAGAAAATGAGGATACTTGCTTAAGAATGTACACTGTGCCACTTTGTTCTGATGGCAGAATAAAATAAACTTTAATAGCAGTTTTCTTAATCACTAAGAAAAACATCTAATAAAAATTAGACAAAACTTTACAGTGATCATTATAACAGTTGCATCTTATGAGGAGGTATAAAAATACAAAAGAAAGCCACTTAAATTAGGAAGTTTCAAACTATAAGGGAAAGTTTGAAGAAGAGATTTAAAGATGCTAATGACAGATTTCAACAGGAAGATTCACCTGAACAAAACAAAACAGCAACACCCGTCTTCATTTAGTCACAAACTGGGATTTAGGATCACTGAGGAGGACACAGGCACAGAGCGAGTCAGTAGATGTGTTATGTAATTTGCGGTGAGGCCATTTGAAGCTTTGGAAGTGATCATAAAATATGGAAATCAATACAGGATTACATAGGCAGCCTGTGGGAGTAGAAATGATCGTATTTGTTTAGTCACGGCTGTATCTTCTAGTGCGTGTCACATTTTCAGATCAGACTGATAACTGGTATAAAGGGCATTAAAGCAGTCTAAGCTGGAAAAGGTAAAAAGGTTTGTAAATCAGCTGTAGGCAGAAGTGATCTGATTAAGAGACGTTTCCTGCAGCTAAATAGCAGAAAATGAGAATGTCTGAGATCTGATCAGAGTCAGAGGTTTCCTGCAGCCATTTCAACATTTTTGTTAAATGAGCCAAGTTCACTGTGAAGCAGGCACGTGCATAACTGGAGACTGCGACTTAAGACTAATCTTTTTTTAGTTTTTTTGTTGTGAGACAGCCGACATTTCATACCATGGGAGTCAAATTGCACATTTTTAGCTGTGGAGCATCTTATTAAGCTTTTTTCCTGCATATTCGGTCTTAAACAGCACATCCAGTAAGTGCTATGGGCCTCATTTGTTGTTTCTTTGTCCCCATCTCTTGCTGCTTGTGTGTCTGTGTCTGTCTGTGTGTGTGTGTTTGTGTTTGCACTTTAATGGGGTCTGGGGACTTATGAGAGAGGCTCTCAAAGCAGAGTGTGAAAATTATAGTTTGAGCAGGATAACCACTTCAACCTCAGGATTGTAGCAGCAGAAGTCCCCCATGAAAACATTCCAGTGAAGTGTTTTTATATTCGTCTTTGGCTTCAAAATAATTATGTATTCTTACTTCCATAATCATATCATTTGACTGAACCGGCTAGCTTCTGCCTCGCTTGATAAACGTGATTAGTGACTTGATACTTTTTTGGATAAACATCTTTTCACAAACACACTCTTTGCTGTCTGCTTTCTCTGTACCTGTAATCAAACCTCACCATGTGGGAGTGAAGTGGGCAGGCTGAGTGACAGCAGCTGGCAAGTGTTACAAATGATCAGATATGTGAGCGCTAATGCTTATCAACGGGGTAGGAGGTGGATACAAAATAAAGTAATTATCATGAGTAGTTACAAGCTATATGCTAAAAGGATGTAAACTGTGCGATGATCCAAATCGAGGTTATTGAGTACTGTGAAAAGTACGTGTCTGGTTTGCATGAGAGGAGACAAGACAAACCTGCACCATGCCAGAGAGAGTAATTGGAGCTGACAGAGAAATTAAGGCCAAAGATGGCGTCGATTTAAGTGAGACAAAGGCTGGTGGTATACTTGCTTTCTAAAATTGCCTTTGCATACACAGTCATCCATGCCATGAATGTAAATAGTCACAAACCTGACTATGCCTTATCTTGGAGGACACCTTTAAAGGGAGAGCAAAAGCTGTAAACAACTCCTTTATACACAGAATATATACAAAAGACATGGCAGAACTTGCGAAGGCAACTGCTAGATTAATTCTGGGTCTCACTGCCCTGTGAGTGACAGAAACCTGAGCTAGATCAGGTGACAGGTAGACACAACACATTAGTAGCACTGCCCAGTGCAGTTTTTCCTCAGTCCCATCATGCTCGGATGAAACACAAACACAAAGACACCTACAATCCAAGTTTTCACTAACCAGCTGCTTTAAGTGGTATTTCTCTTATTTTGCTAATTCCTTGAGAACCTCTGTTTTGGGTTGCTTGAGTTCCTGAGAAAACTCTATTTGTAATTTTGACACTGTGCAAATAAATTTACTGTACATAGTGTGAAAAAGAAACAGGGATGCACAATATATGTCTGATCAATTATTGGATGTTAATGGAAATATTTCATTAATTTGATATTCTGATTATCCAATTATATGTCTCAAACAAACAGAGAAAATATGGCTTTTGTGGAGTTGTTAACAAGCCTACACATTTCCACACTGTAGGTGGCATTATGTTGTCAACCAGCGATCACAGAGCAGTAGAACAAGGACAGCCAAGCAAACTAACACAACAGTCAACATGGCCATGTTGGTGTTTACACTGTTTTTAAGAAGGAGGAGGATACAGATGTGATTCATAAAACAAGTACTAGTAGAGGTGGAAGGTTTCAGATTTTAATACAATGAGTCTCATGAGTCACCTGAAAACTTGTCATTACCACAGCACAGAGATGTTGATAAGGCTGTAGCACCACAAAAAAACAAGTTCTCTGTGGTAGAAATCAGAGCGTTGATGCTGACTAATCACACATTTGGGACTCAGGTGTGCTCTATTTGTTGCTGCGTTCTGGACTGATCCCTGCCTTGTTTGATGTGTTTTCCCCACACATTCACACTCTGATTGACTATAAGTCACATAAGTTTTACCACAGATTCTTTAAAACCATGCTGTGGGTGAGGGAGCATTGCAAAGGAGAGGGCGCATGTTATGTTTAGAGACAATGCATGCATTGAGGCCAAGGCTACAAAGAAGTATGGTGTCAAAAGTGAATAATAGTCGAAGAGTTAAAGGTGGGGTTGTCAGGATCTGCGGAAGTGGTAGTTTTTGGAGGAAATCTTGTAATCTTGAGTGTAAACTCTACCCCTCCCAACCAATTTTCCCTCTCAGCTCCTCCTCTCCCCTCCCTCTCTGCTCCAGCAAGCTCCGCCCACAAACTAAGGCTTCTGCTCGCTTGTATCATTTTAATTAAATTCAGATATAAAGCAGATAATAGTTAATTACGAATGGAGCCCAGTCAACCCACGATAAACAGTTTAGTGGTGCTACAACATGCAGCAAGTCCAGCTTGACAAAAAACACTTCTCTTAAAGACACTTTGCCTACTTCGTTAAAGCAGAAAGGTTACAGGGTCCGTAAGATCCCGAAGTGTCCCCCATCGTTTTATGTTGACCTGGCTTCTTAGCCCTTGTCTGGATGGTCTACCTCCTTTTTTAGCGCCAGTTATTCTGCCAGAGTCTCCGATATTTACTTTGTTTTCTTGCTTGTGTTGGCAGTCGTGGCCTAAGGAGTATTCAGACAATTTTCTGTACTTTCTGGTTGGTTTCTACTGTCCCATATTGTAGCACGCTAACTTTGTTTGGGCTCGTGAAAGTTATTCTTGGAGCGTGCCTCACAACACGAGGAAGCAGCCTCACAACCATTTAGCACTAAGGAGCAGCGTCCGTCTTACAACCAATCAGGTCAGGGAGGTGGAGAACGGCTTTGTTTACAGTCAGAATGAGCGGCCCACTCTTAAATTTTAAAATGTTGACTACACAGACATAACAAAACACAGTGATATCATTATATTCCCTAATTTCATCAATAACCAATAGCTATTGAGTGATATTAAAAGCTTTTTTGTGTTTGCACCCCAAAAAAAGACGCATCTTTAACAGATTCCTGAGTACCACACCTTTAAAACTGATAGTGATCTAAGTCAGTGGTTAAATGTATACCAGTATATCCATTCTCCCTCTTCCTTATAGCTGCATAAAGTACACATCATGAACTTATTATGAAACACCAAAGTGATCAAAAAAAAATACACATCAGTCTTAAAAGTAACAGCCGTCAGTAGCAGGTAATAATTGTTTTTTGGTATTGGTTCAAAGAAATTCAAATCGTGCATCCACAGAATTTAATTCAGTTTCATAGTGTTATTAGTGTTGTTGTGTGGAGTGTCTTAAGTCTCTGTTTGATTTAGGCAGAAAGGGTTCAGGAATCCTATTGAAGACCTGCTGCGGCTAGATAAGGTTCAGGTTGTGGTATTATTGCGCTTAGAGGTTCAGCACTGACATGATGCTAATTGCAAGCTGTAAAGTACAGCAATGGCAACATGGGCTGAATCTAAAAATATACTGTACACATTTGAAGTGGGATTAAAAACACACTTTCTCTATTAAGAGGAGAGCCATTGCTATATTTTGAGATTCATATGTGGGCTGCAGTGTAAAAAAAGGCGAGGGTTAAGATGGCTGGGAAAAGACAAGCCTATTTTCTGATGTTTACTTGGCAGGGAGTCATCTGTCATAAGATAGACTGCGAAGAGCTCACAAACCTAGAGAGAGCTGTAGTAGAGAAGGAATAGAGCTCTGAAGCCCCCTCCCAAAAAAGCACTGCCTGTGAAGGAGTGAAACAGTTAAAGATTGCAGCACATCATTAAAAACATACAGTAGAAACCGAGGATTGAAGCACCGAGAAAACTCTGCATATAAAACAGGAGCAGCTCTCCCTCTCTCTCTCTCTCTCTGTGTGGCATCCACAGCTGAGTAGCTGCAGAAACAGCAAACACTGAGAAGACAGGACAAGCGGTGCATTCAAACAGACACGGTGTAATATTCACAGTATAATGCATAATTCAGCCCCACTGTTCTGTGGATTAAACCCTGCTCCCCAGCTGTTACAGACAGCCTCTTAAAAACAGCATGTAGCACGACAGCCCAGACCCTGAACTGTTACTGATATCATGAGGCTCCTTTTAGGCTGTTTAGCTGTTGAATTTCTTTCCAGAATGTGCACCAGATTGAGTCACATAAAAAAGTTATTCATAGAGTTGTTTTTTTTTTTTTTTTTGAAGCCCTCCAATGTGCCGGTGCTCTGTTTGGAAAAACCCTCCAAAAACACACATTTTCCAAACTGAGGGTGAGACACGGAAAAAAAAAGCACAGAATTACAGAAAGTACAGAAGTCCACACACAGATGCTTTTTTTTTTTCATAAGACTTGCACAAACCAAGCTCAAACACATGGCCGCACCAGGAAAACACACTGAGGATTGTGTTTTCCATAGACAAACAGCCTCTATCAGAGATTCCACTCCTTGTTGCCATGGCAATGATTACGTTTTCCCCAAACACAGACTTCTTTTTTATGACTTATGGTGCCCTCCGCCCCATCCTTTGGGAGAGTATTTTCAACATAATGCAGGACAATGCAACCGAGGAAGAGCATCACATGGAGGTGCTTGATCAAGTCTGACAGAGAGAGAGAGAAGAGTCTGTCCTGCACAGGAGTGAAATCTGTCAAAAACAGACAAAAAGTAAATCAAACGAGTACACTCACCGCCAACTCTGGACGTCTCTAAAACTAGCTGAGTCATCTAAACACACTTTACTTGTCATTTCAAGATTTCCATGGCGCTTGTTTCTGTTGATATAATTAAAGCTTCAATGATCTCCGTTAAAGTCAAATGAACGTCTTTAAGCAACAAAGGAGAAGCAGAAAACATTTACAGGATATCAATTTCGTATTTCGACATGCTGATAATCTGACTTAGAAAACAGATAGCAACACATTAAACGGTTAAAAAGAGATTAAAACAGCAAAGCAGAGCAGTTCTTGTTTGTGGTATTATTTTAGTGTTTGACACAGATGATTCAAATTGGACTTGGTGGATCATATTTTATCATGTCGGTGCATAAAGCAACAGAATTTTATATACTGCTACTGCAATTTTTATACATGGAGGACACATGTATAGCCTCCTCAAGTAACAATAACCAGTGATTAAATTAAGAAGCTTTTAAGTTCATTACAATCAGCAGAGGTTTGTTCGATTTCAAGAGGGGAACCAAGTCCTATGAAACTGGTCTCTGGTTGTTGCATCCTGCAGCAGATTCCTACAGCAGCAACTCTTAATGAGAAGGGGTCCGATGATTAAACTTGACACTGAAGTATAAGGCGGTGGGTTTACTTGTGGTTCTGATGCATGGATGGATTTATTTCAGACTTCAAGGCTAGCGTTATCTCTGACAGAGCAGAGGACGGATCTGTCACTTCAGGAAATATCAAAGAACGTTTATAATTAAAAGCAAATTTAATCAGAATTGAGATGAGATTGAAGGGCGGGATGATGAGAACTTTTGTAGGTATGAGGGTTATGCACCATTGGTCACTTGGTTGATATTAAAGGCATTATGGGGAGTTTTTCACTGATTTTGAAAGTGTCTCTTGGACCAGTGCCTCCTCATAACCTACACTATGAAACAAGATTATTCACGCTGAGATTGGTCATTTCTGTGAAACTGAATTTTAGTTCCTGTATTTGGGTCAGATTTGGGTTGAAGTGTGCATGTTTAGACCTCAGCCGGTGAAGTTTGGAAACTTAATGTAGTTATAAATCACTACATCACCATCTCACTTTGTCTTGAGCAAATATAAAGGGTATCTGTATTATGTATGTTTGCTTGCACAGTATATGCATGCTTTAGAGATACCTGGTGGTCAGATTCAAGGTTGAATTTCTCCCTTGCTCATCGCTCCCATCAGTGAAGAGACAGTGGCCTTTAAGGACAAGAAGCTTCTGCAGTAAATTAAAGCAAACTCCTTTTTTTGTCAACAAACTAACAATTTTAACACAAATTATCTTGAATGAAAACAACAGCCACTCTTTTTTTGCATCCACAAGCCAGTGCATTCAGGTAGCCACTCACTAAATACAAAAACATGTGCATAACTTAGTTTGTCCACTATGTGCGCCAATGGAGACATGGCCACCACTGAATATACTGTGAGAAACACTGCAAGACATGAGAAATGTTCATTTTCCAAACAATGGGTTAAAGAGTGACCTCCTGTTTTTAAATATTTCAGCACTTTATGCATTTAGTTCTCATTTACCCATTGTCGCAGTGAGTTAGATGAATCAGCTACTGTAAGATTTCACAAGGAGAATCGAGGTGGGGTCTTTTGAAACAATTCCCATCCCTGGCACAGCAGGAAATGCTAACCTATTTTTAACCACAAACACGCAGTTTTTTCAGCCTGAGACACATGGGAGGGCTCCAATTAACTGGCAGGAAACACAGAGGCAAACCCTGAGATAACTAATAATGTGTCTTTCCTCGCATGCTGACACACTGCACCACAAAGAAGCCTTACATGTCTAGAAAGATCTCATTCTCATTAGAGGACACTTTCGGTTATAAAAAATCAACATTTTGCGTATAAGTTTATAAATGACAGAAGGTACTAAAGAAGCACTGCTATTTAGATGAGTGTTTAGTCCCTCTCTGGTATCTCAGTGTACCAGTGTTAACGGAAAAGATACATCTGTGTTGTTTTGAATTATACCTTCCTGAAGCTTACATGAATTTATTTATATTACCCAATTTTGAATGAACTTATCTGTTGAATAAATAACTCAAAGCTTTTTCACATCTTCATTTATTCATTGTTGAAATCCCCCTGCACCGTTAAACCACTTCATTTATTCATATTTTAAGACTGCCTGCCTTATTCATTCACCTTTCCTCTCATTCACAAACACTCTGTCTCATCCTTTCATTCATTGCCTCTATTTTCTTTCACAAACTCATCTTCTGACTGATCGAGGTAGTTATTTGCTGAGTCATTTGCTTCTAATTGTCGCTCATCTCTTCATGTCGCTCACTCATTCATGTGTTCATGTATTTGATAAAATGACTCACGATTTATTCATTACTAAATTAATTTACCTTTCTCACATTGAGTCATTCACTGAATTTGGTCTGAGCTGCAAACTTTTGGATTGATGGATTTATTTACCGTTCATTCATTCACTGATCGACGGGCAGAAAGAACCATTTACTGACTCATTTATCGGCTCAATCTCTCCTCCACCTTTTAAACCTCTCATCGCTGTTAGACCATACAACACTGACTACACACAGAGCACCTGATCCCACCTTATAATCTCTCTCTAGCCGCTCTTTAATTCTCCTAAACTAAAAAGACAAGTACTTTTTATTTTTTTAAAATCTGTGTCGCCCGTTTAAGGCACGTTGAATCTGAATAAACAGCTTTCCAAGAGAGCACTGGTTAGCTTTGTGATTGTGCCTTCAAAGACAAATTCTTTCCTAATTTCAACACTCATGGTTGTAAGCAAATCCGCTGATCGTTAAAATGGTAAACTTTAGTATTCTGATAGAAGCAGCGATGGTAAGATTGAGCATGGAGATTTACTGACAGAAAACAGGCTAAAATCCATCAAATGATCCAGATGTCCAGAAGAGTGATTAGATGGACGATATGCCTTCAGCATGCAGTAAAAGAACACTCTTTATCTTCTATACAGGTTACAGGACTCTCCTTCGCAGCTAAAGACAAAACACTTGGAGAAACTTTCAGGTACAGACTGAATCAACTAAGTGCAAATAAGAGGAAAAATAAAGTAAAGAAATGAACTCTCTAACTTTTGGATGTACAATCTGGTATTGGGTTGGGGTTTCGTACAACAAGTACATCAAGTAACCTGCAAAATATATTCGGGGATGGAGCCAACTTTGTCACATTATGAGGTTATGATAAATTCTGTTTAAAAAAAATGGGTCTTTGATTTTTAAGCTTTTGTAGTGATGACACTATGTGTACATATATAAATGTGAAGTTCACCAGCCTGAATTGAACCTTGAAAAAGAGCCCACCACTTTATTTGTTCTTGCAGCCACTAAATTACACAAATACTTTTAAATCAAAGTGTTTGGGCTTTATTGCCTGGTAGCATATAAACTTAATATGTTATAAAGTTATAAGATTTGGATAGTATGTCCTACCAGACCTGGTACCAGACTCATACCAGAGTTTCCACCAGGCCGTGGGCTGAAGGGTGTGACTCTGCCCCCACAGACGAGGTGGATGTCAACAGATCTTCTTAGTTTTCAATCTGAAACGCCACTGTATTAGGACAGATTACAAACTTCAGATGTGCAGTGTGAATATGCCACACTTAACACTGACATTAGGTGGTAATCCACCAGAGGTCCTCGGGTAATGTTAATCCCATGCAAAAATAGATCTTTATTCAGGTAGTTGGCTGAGACTCTCAGTAAACAGTGATGGTCTGAAAAAGAAGATACATTACATTTTCTGAACTAATAGTAGATATTCTCCATTGTCTCAGTCACTTTAAGAGTATGGGTTGAACAGAGATGCTCTGATTGCACCCTATTTAGCCAATACCAATGTCAACTTTTTCCGATTCAGATTTTGGCGGTCTGTTATTCTCTAAAGACTAATCTCTGAAAGCCCAAAAAACTTATTTGAACTTCTTCTGTTCAATTTAGATTTGTTGGTTCAAATAAACTGCATATCCAGTTTTCAAGCAAATGAATCCACTACAGTCAATTTCTTTAGTCTTCGCCTGGAGCTTGATTTTGAGTGTTTTTCTGCGCATCAGAGTTTTAGATCTCTGACCAACACAAAAAAGATACTGTAGATGCTAGAAGAAAATCATTAAATCAACCATTTCTTAAAAGTTAAAAAAAATTAAATGGAATTTTCCATCAGCGCTGTGGCAGCAATCCTAATCTGCCAACTGCACAGTCTAACATCTAATGAAGAGACAGAAAACCATGACTGCATAAAACCAGGGAGTTGGCTGGAGGGAGAAAGGATTTACTGTTGGTGGCCTGAGAAGTAAAACAAAAATCCTAAAAGAGCACGTTGTGGTTTTTCTGCATAATCCAACAGACGTCAGCGAAAGTGTTCCAAAATAGCTGCGTGGACCTGGCCCAAGGAAAATGAAACTGCAAAGTCCCCTGAACATAAAGATGTTTTTCACCCTTACAGGCATGAGCAGGGGCAAAACTGGACACAGTTGTCCGGCGGGAGAATTAATTTCACATCCTGTTTTCCATATGAAGTCATGGCATTTGCGAGATCAAGTAACAGATTCCCAAATATCTCTTTTCAAAAGCAGTTTTGTATTGATATTACAATGATATCAGACATGAGAGGAAGACAGAAATAAACACACTGAAGGTTCAAGAAGTCCAGCTTTAAGCAACGAAAAAGCAGCAATTCCTCTGTGACTAGATACTTATCCCTCTGCTTTCACAAATTAACTATAACAACTGTATCAGACTGTAACGTTTCACCCCGAGGCTGACATTTTAATGCCTAATGTCCCTAATTTCTTTATTACAGTATCACTCTTAAACTGATGCAGCTTCCTCATCCACAAAGTAGAATAAGAGACAAATATTAGAGACAACATTGGTATTTCTTTCTCTGAATGTTGGAGCCTGTGTCCGGGTCAGATCTTCAGTGGAAAAAGCCAAGTCAATACTCGGCTCTCACCTGGAAGTGGCTTTATTTATAACTCTACTGGTGGAGTTTGGCAGTGAGCACCAAGTTAGAAAGCAGAGAGAGTTTTTTTTTCTTTAGATAATTTTCCTTTTACATAATATTTTATACTCATGGCTGTTGCTGGAGCAGGACTGGTAATGAAAAAGGGCATTTTCTGCTTAAATATTGATTTACTAAGAGAAAGCCAACACCAGTAAATCAGTCTGCCTCTATTTTAAAGATCTGTGTTACATTCATTTTTAAAAATAGCATCTTTACAACAGTGGGTGAGGGTGCTGAATAGAAATACAGTCTTCAAGTAAACCAAGTAAAACACTATCAGTTTATGTCAAGAGTGAACTCGAATAAACAGGGCGTAAAAACTCTCACTGTACGTTCCCTTCTGCTAAAAAAACAGCCAAACTGCAAACCAGTGGGTTACGCCACTGTTTCACTTCTTCATAAAGTTCAAGGTCTCTGTGAGTCGGGTTCACCTCTGGCTAACTCCAAAGTGAACTCCACATTTAGACCCTTAGAGCAAGCATCCCAACTATCCTGCATGTGAAGAGAAAGGTGACATTGTATGAAGAGCCACAGGTCTGTCTGGGTTTGATGGCTTTGGGGGCGATTTATGGGTCAACAATGTTGGACTGTCGCCATTAGGGATGACGGGTTCATGTCCTGTCTGAAACTAAAAGTCAACAATGAGTTATGACTTTTACTTGCACCATATTTCCCAGAACTTTTAAAGCAAACTTCTAACCATATTAACCAGGTGTTGACATTTTATTTCTGGCAAAGCGAGGAAGTAAACAGATGCTCAAGGATATGCTGTGCAACTGAAGGAGATGCCAAAAGAGTAGGACAAACTTTTGTACTCCAAGACCTGAAATGACAACGTTTTGGTGTCTCATTCACATATGCACATTTTCAGGAGCTTTCACATACATGTCCATGAAAGTGTGGAAATTCCCTATTTGACAGGGGGGAGACAGGACCTGACATCAAAAGCAGGCTGTAAAAGCCAGAGTGTAATGTTTATAACATGGGTGAGGACAACAGAGTGCTATAAAAGTTTTATCATTTACATTAATGCTGCTTGTGAAAGGACAGATGTGCAGCCTTAGGTTCTTTCACTCACCCTGTCACTTATTGCTTTTCCAGGTTCGCATATAAATGGCATCACCCCTGCTTGCTCATTCACAGTGAATTCTCGCAGATCTTTCCGGTTGCATTCTCACAGTGGCTTTCCATGGCTGCTGTCAGAAATTTTACTCAGGGAACTGGCAGAAAAAAGTCGAGGTAAAGCTGCTGTGAAATTTTGTGGCTGTTTGTATTTACACATGCAGCCCCAAAAAATTCAGAAAGTGATTGGGGTTTTGTGCGTCTGTGAATACAGCTATAGTGTATAGTGAAGTGTGTATACATTTATTGTTTTTCCCCTTGATGTTAGGAATAATTCAGCATTAAATTAAAGCTGTATACTCCAAAATCAGTGTATGAGCCAGCTGGGGACAAAGGTTATAAAACTGAGCCACTTTAGTTTTACTCTCTGATGTTCTACTGCAACACAAGATAGAAATGCCATCAAATGATAATCTGATTGACCATGTCGGAAACACTTTACTTGATGCCTATCTCTATAATGCAGTATAAATGTATGTATAATGCATTATCCTCACATTATAGTGCTGTATAACTATAGTTACAAACACTCATAAATGATCATAATGCTTTATAGCAATAATCATAACACATAAAGCATTTTATCATGACTTAAAAGGTCAGGTAGTATAATGTGTTATGCTTATTGTTATAAAGCCTTATTATAATTAAGTGTTTATAATGATAGTTATACATGTTTATAAGCTAATTATAGAACATCATAAATATATGTATGATGCATTATCTATGTGCGCATTGTCAGTGAGTTGTTAACAGTTAAAACACATTATAATACCTGACCTTTTAAGTCATGATTAAATGCTTTATGTGTTATGATTATTGCTATAAAGCATTATGATCATTTATGAGTGTTAATAACTATAGTTATACAGTGCTTTAACGTGATTATAGCACATTATACATAAATTTATAATGCGTAACAGAGAGAGGCTTCAAGTGTTACCACAGTGTCATGTGCATTTTCCTCAAAAAAGTGTCTCAGTGGTAACTAATTACATGTATCAGAAGAGGCAATGACAAATAACCACAGCTCTCACCTCCAAAGAAGTCATCAAGAACACATTAATTGGGATTAAATTGGAAAAGATCAGCAGAGAGAAACAGGGAGCAGAGAGGAACAGGGAGCAGAGAGCGGCGATAACAAATTATCAGAATGAGACGTAAAGGAGCATAAATAAATTAAAAACGACCTGCCGCAGCAGATGAAATCAAAGGAAAGATGAACCTGTGAAAGCCAGTAGAAGTGTGTGTGTGTGTGTGATCAAAGAGGCGAACAGGGGGGTGGGAGGCTTCAGTGTACCACAGAGGGAAACACTCGAGCAGTTTGGTTAATCGCACAGGTCTCTAGATTACATTCAGCAGATATTTGCAGAGAGCACAGAAGGAGGAGATATTTGAGCAAACATTGCAGCAGTTACAAGGGATGTGCTCCGACATTTTAAGGACTAGCGGCTCGTTTTAATCCACCACTGTTCTGTACAGATACTTTAACTTGAAATAGGTAGAGGGTTTTATCAAACACTGCCTTGAATGTTAAGGAAACAAGGAAAGCACACAAGCAGCAAATGAGCACTGTCTCTTTTACAGAGCATACTTAGATTGCATATGGCTTACTTAGGCCTTTATAGTAAGTCTGTATTTTGCGTATAAATAAAGTTATGATAATTATTTCTTTAATATTGTCACAAACAAATAAGTGAAATAAAAAAGTCTACGATAACGTTAAGATGAAACCATGGCCTGTCCTGAGAATATTAACCCAATATTGATCCTAATGTTAAGTGCTTTTGTTCCATTATTCTTCCAGGGTTGAGGGTTCAGGCCTCAGGAGCCCCTCTCTGGAGTCTAGAACTGGACTTTTACTCCCAAATTTGCCCCAGCATCCTCTCCATCAGCCATTGGATTTCCTCTTACGTTATCTTGGCCACAAATTAGTTCTCAGAGACACAGATGAAAACAGATATGGAGAAACAAATTTTTGCTGGAGATAAAGTGTGTAAGAAATGGTTTGTTGATATTTCACTGCAATGATTCACCCGTCAGCCGGCCGCTGCTTTGAATTTATTTCCATAAAATGTTATTCCTCCCCTTCAGCTCTCTATTTCTGTTTACAGTGACAATGCTCCTCTGAGGGATGCTATAAAGACAATATACGACACCCACCACCATCTCTCATTTATAAGCCTACTTTAACCTTATCCAACAAATGAAAAAAAATGCATTCTGTGTGCTTTATTAAGGCAAATATGAGGTCCAAGATATCTTAAGTAACATGATGTAATCAGTGAGAAATATCACAAGCACCTCAAATTTCTCCACATAGACAAGATCCAAGGCTTAAAGACAAGACACACACACAACAGAGACACCAACTCAAGTACAGCTGCCATGCTGTGCAGTGCGCTCTATGTTTAAATATAAGTGTCAGACAAACCATTACCTGCTGATTATACCGTATACTTAAGCCATCAGTGCAATCATCATCTTAACTCCAGCTAGTGACTTATTTTGCTGTGAGATGAATATGTGACATTGAGTGAGTGACATCCATCAAACAACATTATTATAACAAGATTTAATGCATTAACAACCCGAGAAAAACGTATGGGTCATTAACTTGTTTTTAAAGCTCCAGTGAGGAGTTTTAACTGGTTATGAAACACGCTGAAAATGATCACACTGTCTGTAAATGAGCTACAAAAACAAACAAGACCAACAGCAACATGACAGAGTAACTAAGCTGTGGTTAGGTAGGTCATACAGAAATGCTCAGGGAAACATCCTCTTTAAAAATAAATCATTTTCTACATCAAAGATGCTCAATGTGTAATATGATTCACCATTAAAAGAAAGATAAAGAGACAAAAACATGAACCACCTATGAACATTAACAGTGCTTCATGAAGAGTATGCTTTAAATGTAACACACTTAACATTTAACAATATTTTCAAAGTGCGATAACGTAGAAAAACAAAGCAGAAAACTATCAATGAGGGCGTAGCAGAAATGAAGTAAAACAAGTTGAGCAAAATGAGTTTTAAAGCAACCCATAACATCAGACAGTACAGAGAAATGTACATAATCACTCGTAATTTTCATTGGCTAAAAAGCAAATCAATGTCTGGAATCTACTTGTGCTAATTAAAATTGATTCATTTTACTCTAAAGTGAACTTGTGTAAAAGACAGGGGGACAGCTGTGTGAACAGAAGCGCAAATGAAAAGATGCTTCACAACCAACATTTCATTTTAATGTTAACTTTGACTAAAGCTCCTCTTATTAGTTGTACCCGCTAGAAAAACAATTTTTGACACTGGAGGATGTTTTGATTTACTGAGGATGTTTTTCTACCCTTGTTGACTGAATTTATGAGTTATAAGGAAGTTTTAGTGACAAGATAAAGATTAATTATGGCTGTGTAAATATGATGAATGAACAGTGGACACATGCTGTCATTTCATCTGACGTGTCTCCTGCTACAAGCAGCTATTTGGAGTCTGGCGGTCTCTCAGCTTTAAGATTCTCTTTGTTCTTTAGCCCGGCACACAAACGGCATCATTTCCCAACTCTCCCAGTAAGAAACAGGCACTCAGTGATTATTATTGTTTGTGGCGTTCTACACTCTTCAGTCTGACCTTTGACCTTCTGCTCTCACTGTAACTGTCTCATCGGAGCGTCCCCACGTTGTCTGAATTGGCACTGCAGCATTACGGTCCACACTAACCCCTTTGCACGATTACAAATCAAACCCTTTGCATTGATCGGGATGAAGTGTGTGGGGGATCTCGGTCTTTGCAGACCCTGAAACTGACTCATCTTCATGTAAGCGAGTCAAGCCCCGCTGTGCTGATGGGTTGCGTACAGCATTTAATACACACACGCACACACACACACACACACACACACAATGCCCGCACACATGCACATGCAGTCAGATACACCCGGGGCCCTTTAGAGCGAGCATTAGTCACTCCACATAAAAGCATCGAGTCACTCCAAAGCAAGAGAGCAGAGAGAACGAGTGGGAGACGAGGTCTGTGGAGGTCTGGTCATGGCAGCCATTTTCCTGCGCGTACAATTGCTGCCGGGGCAGGACAAAAGCCGAGAAGCTTTAATGTTAGAGAGCTGGGCTTGGGTTTACATAATGGTGATCGATACGGGAGGAGACGCCCCCTGATCCAGGCTCATCTAGGATTTGAGTTTTCCACGTCCACACAAGCCTAGATTGACCACGGGGCGAAACTTGAGGTTGTCTCCCTCTAATTGATCTTGACTGTGCACGTGGCTCTTACGTAACACTGTATTATACCTATCAACATTTCACATTTGTCACACTGTCATGAAAAAGTGGAAAAATTGTTTCGACAAGATGCATCATTGTGTAGAATAATATGCTGATTGTATCTCAATTCTCCCTCGAGTTTTCTCTGTATACAAAACCACTAGTGAGTAATGTACGATGCATCAGTAACGGCTGTTAGATAATGGTGATATACTGCTTTCTGACAGAGATATGAACTGTGTAGGATGTAATCAGGGAAACATTTTGTCGAGCTGATATCTGTCAGTGTAAGAAGAAGAAAAAAAAAGGAAAAAGTGCATCAAGATTTTTAAAAGTAGACACACAATTTTTACAAGGAAACTTAGCGAGCTGAACTGAGCGAACTGAGAACAAAGATACCCAGTCACTTAACAGTAAAGGAGTGTCCTGTTCCTGTCTTTACGAGCAATCCAGCATTTAATGGAGCATATTTTTGTTAATACTACGAAAAGGTGCTGAGGTACTTGCCAAGCTGAGTTAGGGATACATGTGCAACTCGAGAAGAAAGATTTCTGCAGAGATTGGATGATTTATGATGGAAGTTTTTCCTGCCTGAGATAAAACCCTGAGACAAATATAAATAATATGCTTCAACGATAATTTGGCTCATTGTAAGCATTGAATGAGACTGTTCAGAGAGAAAGCTTTAAACTGCATTATTGGATTTTTATTGTATTACTTATGACTGAAACCTGCAAAAAGGGCTGAATGTCAATACTATGACATTACAAGACTGGTGTAAGAATTGTACTAGCAAACAGTGGAGCAACAATGGCATAACAGTGGAGTCTGCCCACCTGATGAGTTTAAAGGGAATTTCTGCCACAGTTTTTGGTGGGTGTCCATGTGTAGTGGAGATATGGTGAGAGCCCATGCAGTGTCAATGGAGGATGAAGTCAGCGAAAGAAGTATTTTTAAGTGCATGCTCTGCAGACCGAGAAAGTTGAGTCCTGCTGGTGGAGCTGTGCCAGCGGTGACTGCATGTATCTGAATGTATTTGGGGAGCAGCCTCAGCTTCAGCCTCGCTCTCTCGCTCGCTCTGCTCCCCTGATTTTCTTCTGCTGTATACTTTGGGCAAATAAACACAGCTGAGAATCCGCTCAGTCAAAACATTTTAGCATAAGTTTGCTGCCCCTTTGCTATAAAAGCACAGGCGAGGTACACAAGTTGAAATAGCCTGTTGTTCTTCTGGTCCATTTGGTACATCAATTGACAGCACTGCTGCCAGAAGGACGACAGACTTTACAGCTGCACCCTCGAGACACAGAGACATCTGCAACAACTGCAGGAGTTTTTTGAAACAATATACCTGACTAAGATAGAGTTTGACATCAATATAAAGTGGAAACGAAGATGCATGCCCCCCTTGGTCCAATGTTCACAATCCATCTCGAATGAAAGATCTATTTTTAACTTTACTTCAGACATTGGCTGTTTGTTATAGAGCACATTTATCTGAAGTTGTTCTGTATTCATTGTTTTCTGTACAAAAAGGGATTAATTGCTGCAGCTTGACAAAACAAACCTGTAATTCAAGTAGTTCAAAACGCGTCCATATTGTGCAGAGTTGGTCATATTTACACGCAGCTTTGTAAATACGCATTGTGTATTTGAAATGATATGAAGAGCCTTCATTTTGGGGTTTTATAAGCCACTCAAAAACTGAACAACCAGGCTTTGTCTGCAAATCTGTAAACACCCTTCCTGATGCTTGAACACATTCCAGTCTGCTGTTCATGCAAAAGGAAATTAGAGATGAAATAAAATGTAGGATATCAAGTTGTAAAAGTTAAGGCTGCAGGAGATGTATGCTGCAGCCTGATATAGCAGGCCTACATTATTAATGTAATTTGACTCATCATTAGTCAGGGCCTCTCTAACGCCTGTTATTTGGGTTACATTATTCATCAATGTGTGTCTAAAGAGCAGATGTTTTTATCGAGAAAAAGCTCTACAGCTGTCATCAACCTACAGGTTCACCTTGTGCATAATAACTGTGAACTCTCCTGTTTTAAAATAGGACAGAGCGACTCAAATTTAAATGTGCTCTGCCTTGCAAAAAAAAAAAAATTAGTAACTGCGCACACGTCACATCACATCCAGACTGATGTTCTTTAATGTAGACAATGACAGCACATTAACGTGAGGCACTGTCTGACCCCTCATCCCCCACGTCATCAGGTTCGTCCTCCACGAGTCCTTGTCGTACAGGAAAAGGAGAATTTGTCTGTCTAATCTAATCACGAGTAGCCCGAGGTATTTTTAGACAAACAACATTTAATTGAAGTTCTGACCGCCCCTGATCCAACAAGAGATAACAAAGAGTGAAACGAACTGCTGACCGAACATTTTTCAAATGACACAGCAGCAAAAAAAGGAGAAGTTTGATAAGTTAGGAGACATAAAAGTTGCATACGTTAGGTTATTTTCAACACAAAATAATTTCAGCTAAGATAAGGCAAACTGTGTGTAACCTGAAGCAGATACAGGATATGAAAACAACTATCCAAGCAAGTCAAAATCTTTGAGGATGCATTATTTTATAACTTAACCCCCTATTCACCTTACATAAGTGAGATTTAGTGTGACAGACAATCTGCTCAGACCTTTTCCCTTATAAGACAGTGACTTGTAGATCAAACAACACATATCATTTCTTTTAACTACAAAAACCACATTCGTGTTGGAGTAAAAGGCTTGGGCACAGACAGTTCAGTTTTTAAAAGGCCCTCCACTGTACAGCACAAAGTCAACCTTTCTTCACGACTCTGAAAATAGCAATTTCAAACAAAGATTTGAATTGTTTACTGAGGCTGACTGCCTTGATTGTGTTTGAACGGTTGTAAACACATACAAGGAAACACATTTAGTACGTTGTCCAGGTTATAATGACGGTACTTTTCTTCTCTCAAGAATATGCTCGCTCTTTTGACACTATTTTGCTTGGGCACCGTTCATGCATCCTCATCTTAGCACTGTCAAATATGATTTGATTATTTTGAAAGAAAGAGCGAGGAATCTTGGGCAGGTTTTCTTTTAACCTTTTGTTTGATTTCTGATAGGTTCAGCCAAATGTTTCTCCAGCACAAGTACAGAGCTGGAAATGTGCAGAGAAAGCTCTGGCGAACAGAGACGTTTAAAGCGCCAATAATAAAGTCAGTTTTTGCTTTCTCTTTGCTTTCCGGACAGATTTGTTCCTGTGGTGTATCTGTACTTAATCAGTGTAATTAAGTATATAAACATGCCGAAATAATTTTTGACAACTTAATTACATTGAACTTTTTGAAGGACTTTCGAACAAACTGACCAGTAATTCATCATCCATTTTTAACCTTTGTCTTCCTCATAGGTCAGAATCTTGCATTAAAAGAATTTCATGGTGGGACGCCATTGGTCCAGCAGTTTGAGCTTGTACCCAGTAAAAAGAACATATGAGACTCATCCTACCAATCACTGACTCGGCTCTTGGCCATGACAGTTTATTGTGTCTCTATCCCAGTATTTCCTATCTCTCTTCAGCTGTCTGATCCAGAAACAGCAAAAATGCTCAAAATATACCTTAAAAAAAGCCAAGAAGATGGTGGTATTAAGTAAATGAACCTTGGAGTGCTGTTGTTTAGAAAGACTTATACATAGTTGAAAACGTGACCATCAGAGAAGGATGGCTTGAGTCTTGGTGAAGTGGTCAGTTCAACCGTACCTCATGGCTAACAATGCTAGCATAGGCTGTGCTCAAGTTCTGTACGAGCTAAGCTACATATGTGTCTACAATGAAACTGCACATTGCTGAAGGTCCCTCCCCTAAAATACACTGGATTTGTTATATACAGGTACAGCTACTTAATTACTACCAAATTTCCAGTATCTCTGCTTTCCTCTGTGATTCAAAAAGATGATACAGTTTGTTTTTTATTGCTTTGTCATTTTCTCTGGGGTCTCGCCACAAACGATCAGCTGCTGGAAGAGAGTAGGTGAGTTGTGTTTAGTCTCTTTGCTAAAGAAATTAGGCAAAGTTTAAAGGATGTTTGGTGTCTAGTACTATGGCTGGGACCCTATATGTACTGTTGATGAAGTTAGGCACTGTTCTGAGCATTATTTGTGGCTATAGAGTGGCGTTTTGGTTGAATGTGTGGCTCTCTGTATTGCTATCGTGCTGTCATCACTAAAGTTGGTATAACTAGAGAAGTAAGCGGTCGGCAACATTCATCTCTCGAGGGGGTGTCTAACTCAGTGTTACAGTGTGTTTGACCCTAACTTAATTTTGTGCCAGAATGTCCCTTTAAAGCCATTCTTCTTCTTCTGTGGTTTCACTAAAATGAGTTATGCTAACTTGTAGGAGCTGATACTGATGGTTACCATCTATACATTTTTTGTGTATGGAAAATTGGGGTTACCTGGAGGAAACCCAAGGTCGGTACATAAAAACTTAATAGTTCATAAAATCCTCCCACTAAGTCCCGAGGAACCTGCAGCTGTAACATTTTACACCAGATGACTCCTGTAGTGCATGGTTATCATGCTCACTCTACTAAGCTCCTGTAGACACATACTGATGCATGTGTACTTGTGTTACTGTAGTCCCACAGCAGGATAAGCATCTGCGGCCCCTCAAAAGTTTACAGGGCCCAGCAGGGCGCCTGTCCTCTGCTCACCAGCTCATCTTCACAAGGAGGGAGGAAGAAAAAACTTTTTTATGGTTGAGCAGCTGCCGCATTTAATCAAATCTTCAGCTTGTTCATAAAAAAAAAAAAAAGCCACAGCACTGTGGGGTTTAAGGTAGCACTCTGGAGAATGAAGGTAAAAAAAAAAAAGAAAAATCCCCAAACTTGATATGACAAATCCTTGAAATGCTTACCTTTCCCAAAGCCATAACAAATCTGTAATCCTCTGCTGCCCCAGATTGTCTGTGTGTGTGACAGCAAACCTAATCAACATTTTGACCAAACATACCTGTGTGTGCACTGCGGGGAAACTCACAGAGCAGTAAACCTTTTCATACTGTAAATATTGATTCTGTAATCCATACTTTTTGCCCTCATTGTGGAACCTGTAAAACCAAATAAGCTTTCTCTTTTAAGCACCTTAACAGGCAACAAATGCTGTTTTTTTTCTTATGGCTGCATGCTAAAGCACCTAGAAGCAGATGATTTACCTGAAGGTGCGGAAACCTGATATTGCATATGTGTAATTAGCAATACAATCTTCACGTTGAGTATGGAGTAACACAATAAAGCCTCAGATACTGCTGGATTAATGCAGCCAATTAGAAAGAGGGGATACAGCAGAGGGTGCAGGGACTCAGGTTGCTATCCGTCAATAGAGGGACATTATGTAACTGCTTCATGGAAACCGCAAGCTGGTTTAAACTTACAGCGTAGCAGTAATCCCAAGAGTGCTTTATTAACTGTTCTCGTCAGACTGGGCTGTGAACATTTTGTTTACGTGGAAAACAGGAGGTGATAAACAGTCGTTGACAATTACGTGACGGCCTGGAGTGAGTCAGAGCAGGTAAGCGGTTAAAGAAAGGGCAAGTTTTCCTACTCAATGTTGGTGACACAGCACATTTTCAGTTTACAGTATTCACGGTGAAAGATTCATAACCAAAATTCCCCGTAATTTTAAAACAGCACGTCCTCTATGCCTGAGGGGTCAAAAAAAAGAAGGGCCTCTTATTGCTTCGTGGTCATGGTTGATTTTACCAGTGGAAAAAACTGCTAAATAGTAAATGGACTGCACTTATATAGCATTTTTCCAGTCAAAGTGCCCTTACTACATGCCTCAGTCACTCATTCACACACACAGCAGAGACTTCTACTCAAAGAGACCAGCAGTACTACCATAGACTTAATGAAAAAACATGGACAAAACTACAAATATCCTGGAGTCAGAACTTTAAGAGCTCCCCCACCGATGAATCTGGGTCAAACTACCACCATGGACACTTTCCCATAGCCATAAGTGTCTGCTTCAAATCAACACAACAACCTGCTGTGGACTGCACTGACCAGGGGCATCTTTGTTGTCTTATCGATTAGTTAAATGTGTTGTTTAGTAAGTGGAAGGGGTGTTATATGGGTCCTGTGGCTCCACCAGCCAGATCAGCTCTTCACATGCCCTGGCTCCTCTGGTGCATTGTGTCAGCACCCATTAAGGAGGTATTTAGGGTCACATCTCTCTATGAGAGTAGAGATAAAGGTGCAGAGTCGATAATAATATACAGTCGACTACTGTTACAAACTGGTCCCATTCACATGCAAATGATTGTGCCCCTGGGAGACAGTTCAGCGTCTATTATAAGATAAGGCCAACAGACCTTTTTATTTTGCAACAACACAGTAGTGCATCCCCACCAACACCACCTTTTTGTGGTTTTAAAGCAGTGTCACAATAATGTCCCAATGTGGTTTTATATTGTAATACTGCATTATGGAAGCACAAGAGGTTAACACCCTCACTCACATGCACACACAGAACTGTTCTGCCCTTCCTGCTCCGTCAGTTTGCACTGATTCAGTCTCGCCACTCTAACCCATCTGTTTCTACACCTAATGGCAGCACAGGGGCGAGATGACTTCATCCTATCTTCAAACCTCTATCCAAACTCTTGCCCCGATTTTCCACCGCATCCAGAACGGCTCCGATCTGCCACCCGCCATTTCCTACCGGATTCGTTTGTGAGGCTAGTTTCGTACAGCAGAAATGGTGAGAACTCACAAAAACCCGCTGATTCACGTGCAATAGGACGGTTAAGAGATGTCTCTATAAAGACAGCCACATAACCATATAAGCAGTAGATTGTGTCCTTCCAGAGGAGGAAATCCACTTCTAGACTTTTAGATCAGCATCTCCCCATTCATGGTGTCATCGGGATGAAAAGCTGTCTATAAACCTCTTACTTGTTCGTCCCCGCCTGTTTGCATGGTGTGAAATACGATCTGCCTGAAACATGGAGTCTTTTATTTTGAAAAGAAGACAGATGTTTTAGTTTGTGTCTGTGCCCGACTTCCTTTCCAGCACGGGTTAATCTGTGCTGACTTTATCCGGCATGCTCCGGCGTCTGCAAAAAACAGAACTCTTGCGATTTGGCGATCTACAGCAGAACGGAAAGAAGCCGGTGGAAACTGACACATTAACTTGAATGGTTACGATCAGCTACGATTGGCAGATATGGCCTTTTTGTAGCCGTTCCGCATGCGGTGGAAATTGGGCGTTATACTGACCCAACAGATCATCTTCACAAAACTGCTGGTCAGGGTTTCTCTTAGCTTTCTTTGACTCATGGTTGTGACAGCAAGTCATCAATAACCACATTTAAGGGTAACTTGAGGGGTTAAGAAGGACCACTCAGCTGTGTCCCTTTTGAACTGTTTTTCAATGCTTCGTCTCTTTTAAAGACACACCAGCTATCTTAAATACTCACTTGATGATACTAGATAGGATTGGCTATTGTGTGTGTTGGCTACAGAGCTAGCTGACAGGCTTTATCAGGCCTGATTAATGTATTGGCAGGACTGAGAAAGACATTCCAGCCCCATGAACTTCAACTCTATTCCTCTTGTTTTCTTTTCAGGCTGCTTTGATTACTTCCAAGAAAAAGATGTTATCTTTTAAGTACTAAGGCCGGTACATAAAATTGATAGTTAACAGTAAATACCTAAGAAATATCATGTAATATTCTTTGCTGAAATAATCAGGCATTATTATGTTTTTCCAGTCTGCGTTGTTTTGCCTGATGAATGATTCATTTTATGGTCGAAACATGTCTACTCAGTAAGAAAGATGCAGGATCAAGATGAACGTTCCTCGTTTAACTCTTCGCATGCAACCATTTATCTTCAGTAGGAAATGATGTAGAGAAAAAATGTGTAAGTCTCAACATACACTTGGCCGTTTCTATTGTTTTGTCATATAGGATCTGTCCTGAGGGCTGTTTGTGTTTGTGTACACATTGTTTGCTTGACATCTCCCTCTCTTTCTCCTGTTAGAGTGGCCTATTGTGAATGCAACTGTGCACTCACATTGAAAAACCACTGAAAATAATAACACTGCAGAATGTTCAGTTGCCTAAAAAAAGGTCTGTTAGTGATGCTCAGATTTATGGTATCACAACCTGGAGTGATTTTTTTTCCATCCTATTTAAATGTTGTTGTATGATCAGCCAACTGCAGAGGATACATATACGTACAGGTACAATTCACAATATACATTCCTGCCAGTGTTTACAATAAAAATCTGATTTAAAGAACTAATGAAAACGCCAACAAACACAGGTTTGAAGAAGCCTGCGAGTTAGCAAACATTTTACAATACAGCTATGAATTAAATTAATGCTACACATTAGTATTCAAACTGCAGATGCACTAATAACTATAAAATCCCTTATGTAGGTGTGCAGGCCCTTCATAAATTCTATACTGGCAGTCAGAGGTCAGATATGAAACTATCAGAGTCTGCATGTGACGCACTATTATCATCACAACAGCAGCCTGACATGTTATTTCACTTTCATACCTCTGGGAATAGAGTCATACATTTAATCACTTTTGATTCTTTATTTATAACCAGCGGCTGCCTCTGATGCTGCATGTGTGTGTATCATGTTCTACCACTGCAGTACGTGAGCAAACTAAATAACGGCTTATTAACCACAATGGCTGTCTTTATAGGCATCTTTTGCTATCCTTTCCAGCATCTGAAACACAAGACCGTTACAGGTCATTAGAGAAAAGCCTTTAGTTTTAGGCAGAATGATTCAATAAAAACAACTAATGCCATGATTTATACAGGTAGGTGCTATAAATACACCCTGCTTAAACTAAAGCATAAGTGTCTACTAGATGGTACGTTTGGATAGAGTTTGTTTTGTGCAAAAGAATAAAAAAAACTGGCTTGGCATGTAGAGCTGATCCAGTCTTTTTTTAAGTGAAGTGTTAGAGTGCTATTAAGATACGGTGATATTTTTGTGATACCACTGTGACACAGAAGAGTTATAACATTTATATTTTCTGAATTCTCAAGGGACTCAAATAGAAAATGTATGTTTAAAGTCAAAATTAAGGGACTGAATATGTCTTCTTCTGTGTGCAACTCTGGACAAAGATAGGACTGAAGTAAGTAAGTCATACGGCTCACTGGATTCAGTTATTTTTTCAATTGTTTTATCTATGTGCCCTGGTTACGTTTTGACCACTTAAGGTTGTCAATGGGCTGGATTTGGCCCAGGGGCCATTTATTGAATAGCTGAGGTTTAGATTTTGAGGTGGCCTATAAAATTTCAGGGGCCACCCATGGCCAGTAGCTGGGTATGCTCCTGTTAGTGTGTCTGCGTTGGGAGATCATCATCTATGGAGTTAAAAGTGTTTTTGTTGAAGCTGAATTAAAAAAGCATTCATCAGCCAGCCTTAAGACTCCTGGAAGCGTGTTTGTGTCTCTGTTGAACTCCGCAGTGTTCATTAGAACCTCCATAATGGAATAAATGGAAGACTCTCACATTAGACTGCATCAGCTTTTGCTAAATATATTGGGGTTGAAGTGATGTCACGGCCAGTTAACTTTGTGTGCTCTTGTCCAAAGTCATGCAGGATAGGTAAACTGAAAACTCCCAAATTACCCCTCAGAGTAAAAGTGTTTTTTCTGTCTTCTTCATTTAGCTCTGTGGATTACTGGCATCCTGTCAAAAGTTTCCTCTCCCTCACTCCCAGTGAACACTGGGATGTGCTCCAGCCCCCTGTGACCCTGAGCAGGTTCCAGTGGATCTCTAGAAGATAGATGGATGTCTTGGCTGCAGGTAGGAGTCATTATTTGAGAAACTAAATGAGCCGTTTGTCAACAGGGTCAGCTGTGACTTTGACCTGTGGTTGTCAGCACAATTTGACTTGTGTTATGCAGAGCAGGTTGTTTCAATCTGGAAGTGTCTGCTGTCACATAAAATGTGGGCAGTGAGGAGCATAATTCAATGGGACGTTTGTAAATGTAGATGCCGGTGTGATAACCACAATGGAAAACCTGAATACAGGCCTGTTACGTTTAATCTGCAGAGTTTGAAGAGAGCCGATTAACTCTGAGACGTTTTAGCTCTGCAGCTTTTCTGTCTTTAAGTAGTTGAGCCTTTTGTCAACTTTTAGCCATCACAGCTGTGTGTGAAGGTTACATACAGGTTCATGCACATCTGCAAAACTCAACATGAGACGACAGTGAATGCTGAATAAGTAGTTCAGTTTTTAATATTTTGGTATTTTCTCGAGTGCTTGGCTCTTTATTTACAAATATCATCATATGTTATGTGCCCTGTGATTTTGTCCCAGATTACTTCAGAGAGAATGCAATAGTCCTATTTTTTTCACTTTCTTGTTAATTTTTCATTCCACTCAAACTCTGTCTTCCTTAAAAGACACTGTTAGACAACTGTTTCCCAACAAGGCCTATATATTCATGACATGGAGGCTTTGCAAGTCCAGCTCTGGGTTGCATCAGCTATGGATTTGTTCATATGTAGCCAAGTGTGACTACAATTTCTGATTTAAGACCGAGTTCACGCCCTACGAACATTTTAGGGGTTGCGCCAACTGAGTTTGTTCCAATGTAAGCAAAAGTTACAACTTCAATTTTACACCACCTCAAAGTAGACGTGATGGCACATTGTTTTGAAGATGAGACGGAGCAGAGTTTTAACAGCTGTCATAAATCACTAAAGTGCCGTATATGATAGATTACATCAACCGACACTCTCACTTACATCTGCACAAGAAGAGTACTGTTATGTTTATGCATGTTGTAGTAGTCACTGTTGACTTCAGTTGATCCTAAATGCTTAAGAAATCATTTTGTTGTGGTACAATAATATTTATAAGGGCTGTTGACGTCTTTGTGTTGCCATTTCAATCAGGAGATAATACAAATCCATGAACAGAATAATCATAATACTGCATTTAGACAGTGGTTTCATGTCCAAGATGTAGCTTTAATGAGTTTTGGTAAAAAAAAAAAAGCTGTTAAGTTTTTGGCTTCCAGACAGTTTTCACTTTACTATACTACTCCAGATACTCCAGCCTTTAAACCATGTTGTTATACACATGTAAACAACTGACTCCCCATGACTTACAATTGTTTGTAACATTCACCAGTGAGGGGCGATGTGAACAGCATCTGTCTTTGAGTATGACTATTGGTCAGTACCGCCTAAAGCTGTCTCATATTATTCCTTTCACCATAAGTTAATCTAATTTTTCCTGATCAAATTGTGGCTCTATAAATTATTCAGCTCACAGGACTGGACTATTGACACTGTACATCACTCACTCCCAACACTCGCAGCTATTTCTTCAGACTGTTTTCCACGTGAGACCAACAGGTCAGAAATCACACAAGTGAAAACTGTTGAAATTATAGAGGCAGAGACAAATTGTCATTGCAGCGAATACCTGTGAGTATAAGGTTTCCTAACCAGATTAGTGTCCCAAATTGATGAGCAAAACTGTGGATTAACTCGGTGTTGATCAGCTCGGCTCACATGCTCTCTGTTCTCTGTTCTCTGTTATTACATAACCCGGTCTAACATTACATACACCACGCTCACTTTCTTCCCACCTCTCCTCTATGTCCTTTGACAAGCATGGAATACTTTTAGAAAAAATATAACCATAAATAACTCTCCATTTGTCACATCACATGGCCTGGCCATATGGTCTAAATCTGCACTACAAAGACACGCCGTGCACGTGACGACAGGACGCCCTGAACAGTCAAAACCATTCAGCTCGGTTCTGTGGCTCAGGATGATATGGGCTGCTTTCACCCTCAGCTCAGCAGCTACAGGCCTAAGAATATGCCTGACCCACACACTTTGCTTAGAAAACGTTTTGGATTGCGCCTCTTGCAATAAGCCACATTATGTAAGTGCTAAGTGTGAGGTATCAAGAGGAGTTGGCCCGGGGCCATGACGCTGCTGTGTGTGTTAGGTGGTGGGTGCAGGTGTTGAAAATATCTTGCATGAATAGTTCTTCTGAGGATACAAACACACAGAGAAATAAATGATTATGGTGCAGTGGTTATGTGCTGAGAGGCACTGATGGAGTGAGTGGCAGCGTGTATATGGATCCACTGTATAAATGCAAATAACCGCTGACTGAGACAAATGCTGATGCATCTGAAGTATCAGCTCTTCGGATTTAAAACCCTGCAGAGTGCTGCAAGTTCAACAGTTATTATCTTATCTCTGTACTTTTTCCCAACTTGCACCAAGTTTGAAAGACCTGGACCGGAAAATGAGTAATGTTATTTTTACCAGTGGAAATCTCCTTTTCAAAACAATAACAGATGTGGCTTGAGGATGTCCTGTGTGGGACTGGGGGAGTTACAGCCTTGATAGTTCAAAATTCACTTTCAGCACATGAGATAAAAGCAGGTCAATTGAGAAAACTTGCATAAAACAGGCACTCTGACTCCATACCACTCAATATTGGCTCTACCACAATGTTTTGACACCACTTGAAATTGTGCCAGCTGAATAAAAGTCCATATAAACTAATTCAAAACAGTTCAATATGACCCGGACAGAAATTGCGCTCACATAGTTCATCTAAATTTTGACAGGTTACTATAGCCTTCCCATTCATCTGAGTCACAACCAGCTTTAGTTAACGTGAACAGTTTGCAGACTCCCTCCCTTACTCTTTGATTTATCATGTAGTGATACTAGTTTAGTCTCAAAAGACAGGCAACCAACTAAAAAGCAACACTGTTTGATTAAATGAAAGATTTCCCAGAGTTTTAGCACCCTGGAAAGATTTGAATACTGAGAGAATAAAGAACCCAAAATTTTGATGTTCTTGAACTTTTTAATGTTAAAATTTTTCATAATATAAAAAAATGAATAATTGATCAGAGTGTGTTCTGATTTTCAACTACTTGTGCAACTTAATGATTGAGACAACGGGCAGGCATTTAAGATTTCCTGTTCTTGTTTCTTTTCCACTCAGAGTGTGGACATAAAAAAGAGCAGCACTGAAAAAAATTGAATGAGTGGTCTTATATAATCCTGAATAACAATCTTTTTTCTTCTACAAGACCCTCTTCCATGAATATACAAACATTATCTAGTAATTTGCACCACTATTTCCACAAAAAGGAAACTCATTTATTTGATTTGCATCCACTTCATCTTCATTGAAAAATCCAGAATCTCTGATCATGCAGCTGTTTTACATTTCAAAGGTTTACCTGCTCAACTCCCCCTGTTCTCTGCTTTTGTGTTTAAATGCTTTGTCACATGTCTGTTCTACGTTATGCTTCCTTGTTTGATTTCTACATGCATTTCACGGTTGTGGAAGTAGTTATTAGTTGGTGTATTTCTGCCTCACCCTCAAAATAAAACACTCTGAGCCCACTGGTTTCCAAATGTGATGTATTAATAAAATTGCTCATGTGCCATCCTCAGTGTGCGCACTGAAGGCATCACATTTCTTCACATGTGCAGTGTTCATACCTCACTATTATTGTGCGGTTTAATGAAAAATCCAGGTCATAACTACGAGAGCTACACTGAGATTTGAGGTGGAACAAAACAAACTTTTCCTCAATCAGCCTTCAAGTATCCAACTCTGCACACACATCATTCTTTAAAGTGAAACTCAAAGAAGACAATTTCATGAATGGTGCATGTGTGAGTGTGTGGAGGGGTGTGTTGTGCTCTGATGCTGCTGATACTGGCAGAACAGTACAAGTATATAGATTTCATCATAGACTTGATTTAGACTGAATTTAGACTCAGTGCCTTTATGCTGCACTTGCTGTGGAGGGTAAAACTATCTGGATTTTCAAGTGACTGAAGTCAGGCAAAGTGCAAAGTAAACTCTGTCACATCATTTTTAAAGTTACTTGTATGATAATATAGATTCATATAGCTAAAGGCTGCATTTGGGATATTTTCTTCACTCTCTTAAGTATGCTTTGTACTAAATCTTCCAAAATCTTATTCTTAAAAGTTTTCACTCCACATTCCCTTACATCGGATAACTGCAGATACCATAAATGATAATATTATGAATTTTTTGCACGTTAAGCCTTGCTTTGCCTCATAGAGAAGTGTCAATTGATCATGTGATAGCTAAAATAAGCGCGTATTTGGCCAGCGTCCAGCTACTGTATTTTACGCACAATTACGCACGCGCAGTCATGCGTCATCGTTTGGCTTTAGGGGAAAACTCGCGTCAAAAACACATGTCAAAGACACATGAATTACTCCGTTTCTCTAAGTAATTTTAGTTTCAGCTTCTAGTGAGTGTTTTATTAGTTGTATTCCTCGTCTCTGTGATATTCCTCCATATTTTCAGGATCATTATTGGCCCACACTGTGACACTGCGAGTTGTTTTCATCACCACTGCATAAAAATAACTGTCACACACTAACTGCAGGCTACATACCTTGGAAGACATCCACATCTCGACCATCCTTAGAGCTCGGAGATAATCATAGTCCTCTTGAGAAAAAAAAAAATTTTGTGCACGAAGTCCAGTGGACAGGAGAGGAAGTTGCTCGCAACCCCCCCTCTGAGGAGTTTCCACAACAGAGTCGTTTTTGCTATAGCTTTCCATCTGCGTCCGTGTAAAGGGATACTGTCTGTTTGAGGTTGTTTCAATGAAGCTGGGGAAACTGTTGTCGCCAAGGCCCCATGCCTGTCCATACAAAACCTGGCGAGGCGAGTCATTTCTCCAGCCATGTCTGACTCTGAATGATTCCTGTGCTTAGCTCTCATGGTGGCTCGACAACACAAGGCTTTTCTTGGCCTGTTGTGGAAAAGCATGTTTGTGTAGATGTCATAGAAATAACTCTAGCCCTGCTTTATTTGATGACTTCTAAATGCTGTCTTATCAATGAACGTTTTGTTTAGATTAAATGTTGGAGCATGAACAAAGATTTTCGTTATCTGTCTCCGACTTTTCCTTGACTGAGGTCCAATTTTTTTATTGGCAACATATGAAAGAGGTTGTTTATAACCTTAGTTTGCTCTCTGTAAGGAAGTTAGTCAAACATTCTTCAGCTAAGTAATCAGAGGAGGACTAAATTGCCATTTGCATGGCCTACAGTTTCTGTCTCTGAAATAAAAATCAGCCTAACCTAGCGCAGATTCTACATTAGTGCAAACAAAATGTTTCTTTATTGCATATCAGCAAAACGATCATCCCTACCCTTTCTGTTATTGACAGATGAAACCCATAAAGTGCGTATGCATAGCCTGTCCTGTCTTGAATTTCGATTTGTTTTTCCGTGTATGTGTGTGTATGTGTGTGTGTGTGTGTGTTTGTGTGTGTCAGATTTGGAAGCCCAGAAAGGTTAAATGACTTAATTAATCAACCTTTTACAAGATTCTCGGTCTGAATTGCTCCTCTGCGTAAAGAGGGTTCGAGGGGGAACTTTCTTCTGATGTTAAGAAAATGAAATATTCTAATTTGCCAATTAGTGATGTATGAGTGTGAGTGTGTTTGTGTGTCTGAGGCGTGCGTAAAACTTGTGTTAGGGGGACCACCTGCTCGTACAGTGTCTTTATAGGGCTTTTTCACTTACAAAAAAAAAGAAACTTGACTTTAATCACACGTCAGTCTGAATGGACTTCGAGTTAGTACTGTTTCTCCTTCCTATGTCTGTCCCATTTCCTTTACTCGGGCTCTTGTCCAGCCCGCAAAGTGACTCCGTCACCCCCTCCTCCATCTCCATATACTCCGCTTTGTCACCCATCGAGGAGCCTGACGGCGAGCCTTTGAATTTCCTCAGAAAGTCCGGGAAGTAGGGGCAGCCAGGGGGCATGCTCTCCACCACCGGCGTCTGGTCCTCGTTGTCCGTCTCCCTGTGGTAAAAGTAGTTAAAGTTGGACACTATGACCGGCACCGGGAGCGCGATAGTTAACACGCCCGCGATGGCGCACAGGGAGCCCACTATCTTCCCCCCGACTGTAATGGGCTTCATGTCACCGTAACCCACCGTCGTCATGGTCACCACAGCCCACCAGAACGCGTCCGGGATGCTCGTGAACTGCGACGTGGGTTCATCCGCCTCAGCGAAGTAGACCGCGCTGGAGAAGAGGATGACTCCTATGACCAGGAAGAAAATGAGGAGGGCCAGCTCCCTCATGCTGGCGCGCAGGGTATGACCCAGGATCTGCAGCCCCTTGGAGTGCCTGGAGAGTTTGAAGATGCGGAATACTCTCACGAGGCGGATTATTCTCAGGATGGCAAAGCTCATCGCCTGCTGCCCATTGCCTTGGTGCTGTGCCAGGTCCGTGCCGAGAGTTATGAAATAAGGCAAAATGGAAACAATGTCTATAGAGTTCATAATGTTTTTAAAGAAAGCGGGTTTGCTCGGACTCGCAAAGAAGCGGACTATAATCTCAAAGGAGAACCAGATAATGCAGACCGTCTCCACGATGAAGAACGGGTCGTTGAAAGGAGTGAACCCGTGGTCAGGCTGAGTGGAGTTGACGCGTGGCTGTAGATACTCTTTTTCATCCCTGAACTCCGGCAGCGTCTCCAGGCAGAAAATGACAATAGAAATGACTATAACCAGCACGGACACCACCGCTATCCCTCTGGCAGGGCTCGAGCTCTCCGGATACTCAAAAAGAAGCCAGATTTGGCGCTTGAACTCGTCCTCCGGCAGAGGCTTTTCCTCCTCTTTTACAAAACCTTCATCCTCTCGGAACTTTAGTATCGCCTCCTCCCCGAGTTCATAAAACTTCACCTCCTCGGAGAAGATGTCAAACGGGACATTGGCGGGTCTTTTCAACCGCCCTCCTGACTGATAATAGTAAAGAATGGCGTCAAAACTCGGTCTGTTCCTGTCGAAGAAGTATTCATTCCTCAGCGGGTCGAAGTACCTGATTCTCTTGTCGGGGTCTCCCAGGAGCGTGTCCGGAAACTGCGTGAGAGTCTTGAGCTGAGTTTCAAACTTCAGCCCGGACACGTTGATGACAACTCTCTCACAGCAGCCGCACTCGCTGTAAATGTTCTCGTACCCGGACTGAGGGCGCCTGTCAGTGAGCGACACCGTCTCCTCCTCATCATCCATGTTACACAGAAAACTCGACCTCTTACTTCCCCGGCCCCCCTCCTCCTCCTCCTCCTCCTCTTCCTCGGCTCCCTCAGCTTCTTCCTCCTCCTCCTCTATCATGATGTCCTCCTCGGATCCGAGCAGCGCCAGCTCCGAGTGGCGCAAGTCCCCGCCGAGTGTCTGCGTCCGGCTGCGTCTCCAGCGTCCGACGCCGCGCTGCTTTTTTCGCTCTCTGAGAACTCTCTGTTGCTGCTCGGGCTCCTGCTGGTGCTGCGAGGAGGAGGAGGAGGAGGAGGTGGAGGAGGAGGAGGGGCGCGAGGCGGTACCGCTGCTGCTGATGTTGGCGTTCGTTGAGGAGGAGGCGGCGCGAGACTGATGCTGGCGGTTGTTAAGGAGATGAGCGCTCGAGGAGGAGGAAGAGGAGGAGGAGGACCCCCCAGCGCCGCTGCAGCCACCAGCACCACTACTACCTCCGCTGCCGCCTCCTCCTCCTCCTCCACCTCCTCCACCACCTCCTCCTTCCGCACCGGAGCCTCCTTCAGCAGCGGCTGCAGCAGCCGCAGCTCTCGTCTGGGCTACCTGGCGCTCCCTCTCGCGCTCCCTCTCCCGTGCGCGAGCTTGGGCATACCCGTAAGGCATGTGGCTGCAGCCGTCCGCGCCCACCATAGCAAACTCCATTTTTAAGTCAATGAGCTGTTCGATCCGTGAGCGCTACAGTGGCCGCCTCAGGGCGATGTGGACGCAGGCCAAAGGAGAAAAGTTGCAGCTCGTAAAAGCGCGAGGAGAGAGAAAATGAGGCATCAACCGCTTCCACCAATCAGTAGTTAGTGGGAGAATGTCACAAAAACAAACACACCTCACTCAGGTCCATGAGTGCAGTCCATGTGGCTACTTACATGGTAGGAGATATGTTTCCTTTCAGGCACATGCAGGCCTGTAATATTTCATGACATCATTACCATAACCAAAATCCGTGAGGCCCGGTGGCATAGCCTGTTACGCAGACGCTCTGTGGCAAACTTGCAGCGTCTCTTTTATTTGCTCAGCATCATAAATCACCGAGTCAACAAGCGACACCAAAACAGTCTCTCCTCCTCGCGTCCTCCGGTGCCCATCAGGTGGTTAAATCCTCCACGAGCGCGGCTTGTGCCCAAATGCGTGTTTTGATCCTCCGTGGTCACTCCTGGTTGCCATTTTATGTGATGAGATGGGGGGAAAAAAAAGCACACAGGATCTAAGCTCTTGTGTTCTAAGGCTCCGGTGAATCTGAACCACTTTATGACTCCTTGGACGCTCACTGGAGCTGCAAAGGAAAGAAAGGGAGAAAAGAGCAGTTGGTTTAGCAGAAATAGAAAATCAGAGGTAGAGATAAATGATGCATTCATATTGATGTCCATTGTTTTGGCGCCTGCACGGTCCAGCATTTTACGCATTTTCTTGCAAAAAGGGGCGCTAAAACTTCATTCTGCACAGTATTTTAGGATCATTAGGATCGCAGATGTTTTATGCAATTATCACTGTTATTAGAGTGTGCATGCAGATCACGGAAATGAACACATGAGAGACATTTCTGCCCATAAAAAAGCTATTACGCACGAAATTTTGCACAGTGGATCAGCCTCCCTTTGTATTAATATTTATACTTACATGTTTAAAGGGGCCAAACAAAATCGCCTCAGCCACCCTTCAAATAAATCTGCTGGAGGAGAAGGAGGAGGAGGAGGAAGAAGGCTAGGTGAGGATGCAGTTCTTCGCTGTTGCCCAAAACACTGTCTGGATTTTGGAGGGTAGTAAGATCAGAAATCCTCTCTGTGGTATCCAGGCAGCGAGCATATCATCCACAACACATCCGTGCTCTGACGCACTCTAAGGAGGACACTTTTTTTGGCTGCGTCTCGACGTCTTGTGTCTCAATTCAACAGGATCTATCGCTACTTCAGCCCCCGTTTCTGCTGCATCGCTGTTGTGGTACCCAGGCAGCAATTATCATTAAAGGAAAAAAAAGGAGGCAGGTGTTGAGTTGGCATCAATTGCGGCTCCGCGCGGTCGTGAGGAAAAGATGTGAGGGTGTGTAAAAGTTTACCGTCACGAAGGCGAGAGGAAATGGCCCCTTGGTTGAGTTTGAGCATCACACAGCTGTCTGTCTGCCGCCGTAGCCCTACCTATACTCCGGTATCTTTCCTATTGTGTGTGCGCGCGCGTGTGAGCGTGTATGTGTATGTGTGTGTGATGATGGAGAGGCTCGGTGAGAAAGTCGTTCCTGTACTGCAGCGCGTGCAGGCGGTGCTCGGTCCTCCCCCAGTGGATGCAGCCGGTCACTGCGCACCGTGCTGCAGTCTCACACCCGAACTTCCTCTGCCCTTCAGCGAGAGTGCAGGGTGGCAACCGGTGTCCTCACCCGTCAAAGTAATGCACTCAGCTCCTTTTATAATCAAGTCAAGTTAATACTTGTTAGGGGGTTTGTTTTGGAAGCAGACCTTAAATATTGTTGCATTTGCAGATTTCAGTGAATTGTATTGTTTTCTCTTTTACCTCACAAATAATCTTGTAGTAAAGTGTTTGCATATTTTTCTTATCCACAGCAGTCATCAGACTCTGTCCTACCTTGACCTTGTTCAGTCCAGCCCACTTGAAGGAAAAAGCCATTTTAAAAAATCCATAGTTAATTTATACGTTCAGGGGGTTGGGTAGAATTTATAAGCTGCCTATATTTTTCTTTTTCTGCACTAAAACGTGGTAAATCAGGCTCGTCAACTAAGCGACCTGTATTTCCTTGACCACCGTGAAAATAAAAATGCAAAACAATGTTTCACAAAACAACAGTAAAAACACTAAATACTCAACACGTTTGATGAACGTTGTCTCTGCAATCCTTTTCTTTTCTCCATAGAAGTTGTGATGCTGTGTAAAATGTTAAAAACATAAATCAGTGATTGCAAATCACAATAAGACTTTATTCATTTGAAAATAGTGCAAAGACAACAAAGCCTCTTTTGAAACAGAAAAAATGATGCTAGTAACATGTTTAAAAAATGTTGATTACATTTATTTTGAAAGTGAAATCAATCAATCAAACTTTATTTTTAAAGCACTTTTTCTACATGGAATGTAGCACAAAGGGCTGTCCATTCACTCAGGATATTAAAAAACAATGAAATAGAATAAATAAAAATACAAATACCAAACCCCACCCACTCTCACAACCCACATTCAGCACATACAGCACTCACACACATGGATGCATACACAAAAGACCAGGACTCTTCAACTTTCCACAGATGACTGAGGAAATGTCCAGTTCTTGCCTGATTTAAGATTTTAGCTGTTTAACAAGACTGCAGGCAGGCCGGTGTAGCACCTGGACTCTGCCACTTCAGAGCCATGCAGTTGTAATATGTTTATAGTTGTGTGTAAGTATAGTTAGGCTCCTCTTGCTGTATTATGCAATATATTCCCTGAAAAGGGTGTTGTCTGGATGGAACCATAATGTTGCTCCATAACCTGTATATACTGCTCAGAATCGATAAAGCTTTCCGAGATAAACTAGCCAGACCATCAGGGATGCTTGATTTTGAACTGTAAGCTGTTAACAAGCCAAGTGATCCCTCTCTTAAGGGGTTTCACAGTCCATAATGTCAAATCTTGATTCGACACACAACACGAGTTATTTCCACTCTGGCTGAATCCTTCTCAAAGGGGCACAGACACAAAGAAGCTGCCAGCATTTCTGAATCATGTTTATGTATGGTTTCCTTCATGTGTGGTACACCGTTAACCTGCATTTGTGGAAGCAGAGGCAAACTATAATCACAGAACATACTGTTTCTTTTCAGTTTCAGCATTTGATCAAAGTTTGATTTTCTAAACATTTTACCTGGTGACTGAACTGTGATGGATTTGGAGTTGCAGGTAAATGACCCCCGTTTTGAGAGAAAATAGCATTTATTTATTCCAACTTTGTTTTTTTTTCCTCCTGAGTCCCAGAACAGTTCAGTCAACAGAAATCAGGGAGAAAACCAGAGAATTTGGTGAGTCAGCAGATATAAAAACCAGCAGCTGTTTGCACAAGTAATAAGCCTTTACAGCACAATACAACTTCACTGTCTTCTATAGGGAGAGTCTGCTTTCTTTTTATGAAACATCCTAACACTCCAGCTTAGAAATCACTCGAGACATGAATGCTAGTAAATCAGCATATAGGGAGGAGTTGAGATATGCAACATAAAGCTCTAAAAATGACAAAGCATTGAGAGTCAGAGAGTTTTAGCAAGTGATCATGTTTGCCAAAAAGAAAGAAAAATCCTGCAGGAAAACATCAAACCAGAGGAAAACCACATTTTCTGAGTATTATAATATTTAGCAGTGACAAGAACGTGTGACTACTTGTCGAAAAGTGCGACCAACTTTTACATTGTACCTGTATGTCCAGTTATTTTGTATTTTTAGGAGGTTTCAGTGATTTGTAGGCTTTAAATTTCAGCTAAAACTTCCTGTGAATTAAGAGCTGAAAATTATTCATCAATCTAAAGTTGGGGGTAAAACAAGCGTTAAATGGGCAGGCACTTAAGCAGACCTCTACTTTTGGCTGAGCCATCGTGTGGTCTCTGATAAAACCAGACAAGCAGAAACAGCAATGTGTTTGCCCCTGCAGGAGGTCTCACCAAAATGACTTCAATACATCGTGTAGAGTCCAACCACACTTGTGGCTGCTTTGTTGCTTTGGTCCTCAGTTTGGTGGATGTCTCTTTCATTCAGCTCCTTCTGTGTTTGAGCATCCCTTTGCTGGTCTCAGGTCTGTTTTACCCTTCTTGTTGTTTTTTTCTCTGGTGGTGAATGAATACATGAATTAAACATTTTTTGAATCCTAGATGGATTGTATGATATCATAGCTATCTTGTTTATCATTGTGAGTTAGCATACTGTACATGATCATATATCAGGTTTTATCGTGATGTAACATATAGTCAGGTATCATACCATATCATATAGTATTATATCCTAGATTACTTTCCTCTCTAATCTTTGTTAAGCAGAGATCTTGTAGAGTTGTCAGAAAAAGTCGCTTTACCATATAATCAATTCTTCAATTGTAGCTGTGGTAAAACTTGACAATTTAACAGAAAAAGTGGATGTTTTAGTCGTTTATCTTTCCCTGAAAAGACAAGAGTACTCAGTCTTTAACGGCTTGACGAATATTTCAGCATCTGGCGAAGTAACTGTTGAGTCACTGTTATTGATCAACCAGCCTATTGCCACCTCAGATTTATTTGGATCATTTTGGCTATGGGACGGTAAAAGTCTTATTCATTGCACCTTTGGAACCTCCTGGATTTAATTTGATTGTGTAGATAATTGGTTTTTCTGCAGGTACCTCCTCAGGCCTGGTGCTGGAATACACAGCGTTCAGCAGCTAAAGCCCATCCAGCCCAGACCATTTAATTCAAACCATCCGTTCAACTCAAAAACTCTAATTAGGGCAAGAACAGCCTGTTATACCAGACAAGAAAACCTGATGCAATATTCCTCTAAGGGATCCTAATCATCCCCTGTGGTATTGTTTTCTAAATCTTTGGTTGTAATATTCCTGTAGGAGTTTAGCTTTTTCAGTCTCCTCCTCAAACATATTACACAATTGCTGTTTTCATAAGAGGAAATATGAAACAAAATGTAAAATCCAATGCAGAGGCTTATGAAATGATCGCTCCTGCTGACAGTGCAAATATCACACACAGATATGTCTTTGAAGAGCTCGGTTTCACACATATCTCTCTCTGTCTCTGTGTTACAGATCCTCTCCTCAGACATTAGTGCTGCTCTTTTTACTCAGCCCAACATGTAGGCAACCTTCCACCCACTGCACACATACACACATAGACAATCACACATAACATGCACACACACACGTACCTCCTTGCACTTCATTGAGCATCCACCTCAGTCAGCACCAGGGGGAGTTGTGAGGTCAGTAATAATAAGGTGATGGAGTAGGGAGGGGAAAAGGCTTATTACACACAAGTTTAGGGGCACTTTGAACTGAAGCCAGATCTGCAACACGACTGCATCTGTTCACGAAAAACCTCTTTGAATCTTAATCTGTATGGTGAGCATATACCCAGAATATTCCATCGATACATTTTAAGAGATACCTCCAAACATCTACATGGGAAAGTTCTTCTATTTGTTCTACATCAACACAAAGACTTAAATCACAAGAACATGATTAACCCTGAAGTCCTGGGTAATTATTTTTTTTCCTAATGATGCAGTCTGCATGCACCTGAACAGGTAACTGAGTGTACCTATAATCACAGAAATTATGGTAGTGAATTGGTGAGTAAGGTTATTGTTTACAGCCAGGGGTCTCTTCTGCTCCATTTGCAGCAGGACTAGCGATGATATCAGTACCTTCACTTATGGTTCCCAACTATTATCTGCATTCATACATCACCTCAACATGCATTTTTTCAGATATTTTACCTGGAGAAAGTCACGGTGAACAAATTTTGGCTTTCCCCATTCACATATGTAACACACTTGGTCAATGTTGGGAAATTTTCAGTCGTACAGTGCATGTGTTAAAGCGGTTTATTGCGGTTAAATCGATCTGATCACATTTCCATGAAGAAATGATCATAAATGTTCTTCCTTGAGCTGTGTCACCCCACAGCAGTCTCTAATAGACTGGCCTAAGGTCTCTGTAAACAAACAAGCGGCTGCTGGAAGAGAGTGGGTGAGTTGTGTTTAGTCTCTTTGCTAAAGAAATCAGGCAAAGCTAAAAAGATGTTTGGTGGCTAGTACTATGGCTGGGACCATATATGTACTGTTGATGAAGTTAGGTGCTGTTCTGAGTATTATTTTTGGCTTGAGTGGTATTTTGGTTGAGCGCGTGGCTCCTGGGACCACTGTGTATTGCTACCGTGCGGTCGTTACTAAAGTTGGTATAACTAGAGACGGCAACATTCATCTATCGAGAGGGTGTCTAACTTGGTGTTACGGTGTGTTTGACTCTAACTTAATTTTACGCTGGAATATCCCTTTAAAGGCATTAGTTCCACAGGGTTGACTTTGATTTGTTGGTCAAAATATCATCAAGCTAAATCCCAATTACGATTTTTTTGTTGGTGTTGTTTTTGTTGTTTTAATCAAAGGATTGAACTCTATGTTTTGAACCAAGATTAATTTTCAGAATAGTTTCATAAAAGATTAAGCTGAAATATATTTGAAACCCCGTTGAAGTCTCTGGACTGCACAGCAAC